AGGTTATTTTTGAGAAAAAAAAAATGGACTTAAATCATTACATATAATTTTAAACATGGACTTAACTTTTTATAACTGCGGGAGATAAATTTGTCCTTAGCTTATTATTTAGGGCCCATTCCATATATCCCACGTGCAATATTCAACTAAGTCCAGGCTAGAATATTTTGGAGTACAAGATTCTCTAAATGCTAAATTATTTGTTGTGTATTATTACAAGAAATTCACTTGAATTTATAATAAATAATTGACAATTAAATACCTTATTCTCCGACATGAGTGGGAAATAAGAGAAATGTGCATTGTTTATGAATCACATCTCAACCAAATGTTTTTGTGATTCTTTTATTTTTTTTAACGGTTAAGAGTTGTCAAGTCAATTTACGTGTACCTCAACTAATCACATATTGTGTTAAAAAAAACTAATCACATGTTTGGTCCAGTCAAAGGGAGGTCATTCACGTTGAAATTACGATATTTATGAAGAATAAGACTCTCGTAGACTGATTTCAAAATATTATAAACATTCGAATTCATAATGCCAACCAAAAGTTTTCCGCTCCCACAGTAATAATTTGACCAGTGACTCTTAAAAAACATATCAAAGAATTGCGAGAATCCAGTATTCCAGTCAATCTAAATCCAACTCGATTGCCACTATCTTAACAAGATTACCAAAGTTTCCTTACAAAAGCCTTGACCAAGTATATCAAGTTGACTTGTATCTAGGAAAGAAACATAATTATATCCTCAAAATGAGTGAAATTCAACAATTGTAACCATAAATAATCTAGTATTACTTCTATAAAATAATGGTTCTACTTTTTTCAATATGAATGAATTCCAAGAAGAAAATCCTTCCTGAAGAGAGAGAGAGAGACTGAACTATAATGGAGTCTCCAAATACTCTATCTGCATGCAATAAACCAGTTATCAGTGGCACTTCCCCCTCCAAAACTAATGCCCCTAAACCCTCCAATTCAACCTCAAAACATAAACCCTTGAAGAACAGAGCGCCAAATTCAATACCCAGATCAAACATCCACAAATCTTCATCATCACCCACCAATTCATATCCCCTTAACCCCTCTGCTTCTCCATCTCAACCTGTTAATTCAGACAGGTGCGATCGCCAATGTTTCTTGAAACCAATAACCACAAGTTTTAGAAGGTATTTGACATGCTTCAAGCCTGTAAAACAGAGGTCTAAACACAAGAAGGGGGACTTAAGTTTTGGGTCCTGTATTGGAGCAGTAAACAGTTGTAGTGGTCAGTCACCTAAAAATTGTAACTATTATAGTGAGATGAATGATGAAGAACAAGATGAGAAGTTGAAATCGGCAATCGTCTACTGTAAAGATTCAACGGGGCAGGCAAATTTCTGAGTTTTTGTTCATTTGCTTCTCAACATAACCAACAAGAATGTAACACAATTCTTGTTATAGACCTCAATTTGTTAGTACTCTTAAGGGTGTTACTGAAATTTAAAGCGAGCATCAACTGCTATTCAAATATGGCTCGTTTATCTTAGGATTTGATTTTAAACGATTTTTTGTTAACCTTGAATATGACTCTTTGGATGCTAAATCAGCTTAATGAGTCGAGCTCAAAAAAAATATGAGCTTAAAAACATGTTCAAGTTTGATTCGTTCATCACTTGAACTGATTTTGAACAAATATATATGAGCTTAAAAAAATATATGAGTAGTTTTACAGCCCTAACTTGAAACAACAATCTCTTTTCCTTTTTGTGTTATTTCAGATGTTTTACAGTTGGGTGAGTGCAGGTCGTTTAACCTACAAAATACCCGGTGTTCATAGTGCAGACCTATAGATTGTCGGTGTTAGATTCCTTTTGATTTTATAAGTATATATCACCTTCTTCAAGGATATGCTATATTGTTCTTCAAAGTTCTCTTTCTCCAGAAAAATAGTACCAACTCGGGTTAACAATCGATTGGGCACTTTTGAGTTCGTTTCGTATCAAAATTGATTGATTCAAATCATACATAAAGGATTAGTATCATGTGAAATCTGATTTGTGCCTATAAATAAAGTTCAACGGGTTAATCCAAATTAATACCAAACCATAAGCAGTAAAGAAGCATATACTTCGTGTCATGTTGCCGTATCGTGTGATATACTGTACAAAACTTCACCTAGTTGGTGTATTATATATCAACAAATTATTAATTAGAGACCATCAGTTTCTTGAGGNATTAAAACTTACGGAAACAAGTGTTTTTCAACGCTGGTGGACTTCTTTTGGCCACACCTCACCACTTTGTCTTTAGTACTTTGTATCTTTCCAGTTTGTACATATTGTCCNCTAAGTTAGCAATCCCAAACAAAAATAAACCTACTCATTGTCCATATGCTCGGATTGAATTTTAACATACGTCTTAACCACAACTCAACTCAGCTTTTACCCCACCTATTTGGAATCACCCAGGCTTTTCCGTCTATTTGGAGTCAACTACACAAATTCTATTTTGAGAATCTGTCAACTTGTTTTTCTTGAATTGTTCTCCTGGTGTAAGATCCTTAAAATATCTATCATATTGCATGCTATAATTCGACATAAATCTTTCTAACCAATGAAAATAACTGTAGGATTGGGTCGCCACAAATAAAGTACAACATTCAGATTGTCATTTTGAAGCAAATGGCAAGCCAATGCTGGAGTGTTTTGACAGCAAAAGTCAATAGAATCTGTCTGAAGCATGTCCCAGTAAAATCCATGGAACACCGTAAATCAAGTGAAAAATGTATGATAAACAACGCCTGTATGCATCTTTCATAAAAACTATGCTAGGGAAACTGACAGCAGATGCAAAATATTGTAGCTCCTAAATGATGGAATTTCAGCTTAACTGATTCGGATACAACACATCAAAATTATCTAGCAAGCATCCAAACATAAAGAACCATTGAAAATACGTTTTGAGCTTCAATCCAACACATTTGAACAAAAATTCTGATTCATAGCAAACAAAATAAGCATAGGTTTACCATAGTTCAGCCCGGAAAAAAAAAAAAGAAAAAGAAATTGCTATAACATAGTCAAAATAGCAAAATTCATCCAATTACCCATCACTCATCTACAAACTACCCATCCTTCAAGCTTACTTCTCGGATGAGTTTGGTCCCCTCTTCTTCCCAAAGCCAAGAACTGCAAAACATCAATAAATTAGACAGTTATAACAGTACTAGTTTTTGAAATTTAACTTAAAGATTTCTCACTTGGTTCTCTGATTAGCTCCCAACAAAAAGGTTCAAAATAGACATAAATCAAAATTGGTGAGGCAAACCCGCAACTACATAGCTAAGTTGAGATGATCTTTCAATATTCAACACAGGCATAACAACACAGAAAATTAAGTTCAATTCCCATTTCAGACTTCTTTTTCTCCAAGTTTTCTAGGCAACCAAAGAGCAAATCAAGCAAAGTTCATTTCTTAAGCACAAAGAGGTATTAATTCAGAAAAAAAACTCGTATTTGGGACCCCAATCCTATAAAATAAGAATTAGTTAAACCTTAAAAATTAAAACCAATATTTTAGATACTTAACAGGAAAGAAAACGTAAATCATGATATTGAATACCCGCTTTGAGATTTTATTTTTGTCTCGGTATCCAAAAAGAGTGCTAAAAACCCACTTTATAAAAAACAAGATTACAGTCACAGTGTAGAGAGGTGCTATGGATTCAACAAGCAGATATACATGACCAATATGATCATAAAGCATAAATAGAAAACTATAGAACACTTGCTCTTCCTACACATCATACATGAAGAACATATACAATAATAAACTGATTGCATATACTGTAAAGAGATAAATTGAAGGGAGAAGATAGAATTACCGGCTGTTACGAAGCGGCGATTGTACTGCATGCGCTTGTGAGCACGGCCACGGGGCTTCTTCTTCTTGTCTTGCTTGGCCACCTTCGGTGTTTGGCCTCTCACCTTACCGGCACGAGCCAGAGATCCGTGAACCTTACCTGCAATCAAATCACAACCCCCGAAACAAACTCAATAAATCGAATTAAATTCTCCTCAAACACTCTTGAATAGAATCCCTATTTTCTGAATCGTGTCATGAGGATCTGGAGAGAGAGATCTACCCATGGTGGATGGTTTTTTCCTTTTGTTAGCTTAGAACTCCTACTGCTGCTGGTGCTGATAGCTTCCACCCACGAAGTTGGATAGAGAAGATAATCAAACTTTATAGGGTTAGGGTTTTTGGTGAGTTTATATAGTGGTCTTGTCTGGACTGAGTTGGGTGTAAATGCCCTTCTTGGAGTGGAATATGGGCCATTGGCCCAAAACAAGAATGGTGCCAACTTGGCCCATTTTTACCCCCAAGTGTTTGTTTTAGTATAAGTCAACTTAAAATCAAAAAAATTCGTCTTAAAACTTTTGATTAGCCAGCCAAGCATCAACCTTGTCGTCCATGCCAAGGTATGCCAGAATACGAATCCACAAAGCATTGAAATCAGAATCTAGGATCCGATTCTCACAATCACGTGACCCGAACCATAGCACCACAATTTGTCTGGCACTTCCGAATGTATGGGTGTTGTTTCATTTCATTTTAGTCCTCAAAAGTACAACATTTTATTAGAAAATGATATTTGAACCTAATTTGGGGACCTAATCTAGTGATCTAATTCCATTTAATATTAGCAATGCCCTTCTTCCAGGGTCATGTGATACGCATGTAACCTAATTCTGTTAATCAACTAGACGGTGTTAGAGTTAGGGACCATTTGAAATCAAATTCAATGTTTTGGGGACTAATTTGACACAATTAGAACATTGAAGACTAAATTGACACAACATGCATACATTAGGGGCTGTTCGAGTAATTAACCCTTTTTTCCACCATATTTTAAGTGCCTCAATTTTAGGGTTTTGGCAAATGCAACGCCTGCGCATCTCTCTCTCTCTCTCTTCACCACACAGTGACTGAGTGACAGAGAGAAACTCCATCACTATGTCCTGCGATTCCACGCCGCCGGTAGAAAAAATGTCTTCCATCACATTAACCGACAGCGTAGAAGAGGCCCAATTCTCTAAACGCGTTCTGATCCGCTCAATCCTTCTCCGGCCGGACGGCGGTGCTGGCCTCGCCGGAAGAACAGTCCGAATCGGTGGTTGGGTGAAGACGGGCCGGGAACAAGGGAACGGCACGTTTGCTTTCCTCGAGCTCAACGACGGCTCATGTCCGCAGAACCTTCAGGTCATCGTCGAAGCCTCTGTGCATCCTCTCCGAAAGTTGGTCGCCACCGGCACGAGCGTACATGTTGTAGGAGAGCTCAAGGTTCCTCCAGAAGGCGCGAAGCAGACGATCGAGCTTAGGGTTAAGGACTTTCTCCATATTGGTGCGGTTGATCCGGCGAAATATCCGTTGCCGAAGGCTAGGCTGACGTTGGAGAGACTCAGAGAGATTCTTCATCTACGCCCCAGAACCAACACAGTATAATTTCTCTCTCTCTCTCTCTCTCTCTCTCTTATATATGTGTGTGAAGCTACACACACGTATGTAATGGGTAAATTTTCTAAGTGTTATCTGAAGTAGCGTATGTTGCTTGTAACTTCGTTAGAAAATTGCCTTAAAATATTGCCAATTTTTTTTCTCAAAAGAAGCTCTTGATTTTTTTGTTTTTGATGACTTGTGAGATAATTTTTCCCTAACTATAGATTTCGTTGAATTTGTTGGATTTGATTTAACATACTTCTTCACGAAGTGATACAGTTGAATGTGTTGTTTTGGGCTAAAAAATATACTGAGTATCTGTGTGTGTATTCCAATTAGTGGGCCCTAAATGTTTCTTTGCATTTCGAAACTTGATCTTTCTTTTTGAGTTTGAATTGAAACTAACAGTAGTTAAAATTCTCACAAAGGTTTTCTCTAAGTTCAATTTCTAGCTGTCAGATAAATAGTTGAAACCTGATTTCGGGGTGATGATTGTAACACCCTGTAAATTTTATTGGGGTCAGTTTATAATTTACAAAACTATAGACATGTTTTAAGTCTAATTTGTTATTATTGTAATGGGGAAAAGTCTGTTGCTTGTGTGACCAGCAGTCATCTTCATGAGGGGTTTTTGAGGAAGGGGGAACAAAAGAAAAAACGGGTGAAAAAGAAAAGAAATAAAGAGAAAATCAAAAGAAAAGATGGCGGAAAAGGAAGAAATATGAGATGGAGCTAGAAGGGGAGAAGGCATGTCCGTCATCTGTGGGAAATAAGAAAAGAGGAAAAGCACCGTTGGTACTTGGTATGGCATGGTGAACATCCTGCATTTGACCTGACAGATCGCAACATGAATGAAATAAAATAGTTTTTTTGTGTTGTATGCTGATTTTACTTATAGGGGTGTGGTAGCGGGATGTTACAAATTGAAATTAATGCTTGAGTTTTCGATTTTGTAGACTGTCCTAAAATTAAGCTTTGGATGATGGCCTTTGGTTAAGTGGTGTCAAATGGCTAGTTTTTTGTGGGTATAAGCTCCGAATACGGGTTGCGACAATCATGCTAACCTTGATATCAGGAAGACATAGTTACTTGTGATTTCAGAATGATGTTTTGTAGTTCTAGTAGTTAAAATATACATGTGGAGTTATACAAATAAATTTGGAAGGTTAAATAAGAATTATTCAAGAAGTTGAATTATTGGGTTTTGACGCAACTGATGAGGTAATCAGTGAGGCCCGTTACTTGCTAATTGAAAACTAATTCCAAACCTTCCTTTACTGAAATTTTTTGGCCTAGGGGTAAAAGTCCTACACTAAATTACTAAGATTTGATGGTAAAATCTCTAGATTCGTTATAATTAAAATGCTTAACCACTTGTTTGGAAGAGAAATTAGAATTTGAAGTGTTTTCTTGAAAGCTGAATTAGTGTATACCAGCCCATAGTTACCATTATTCACTAAACCTTTAACGATACATGATCTGGGTACATTGATTCGAAATGTGGTGGGTTTGCGATCCAGATCACCAAAATTGACAACCCCAAATTGCAATACTAACTCTAGATCAATTCACTTTAGAACATGTAACACAGATATAAAATACATATTAATTGACTACATGTATATAGATTTATAATTATATATTGTTTTAGAAAATAGAAAATCAAGTACAGTTATAAGATAAATGGTAACTAACTTAGTGTTTATGAATGTTTTGCAATATATAATGTTGTATAGTAGTGAAAACGGTCTACATAAGAGTTCCATAACGAATTGCAACCCAAAATACCGTACCAGCTAAAACTACCGCCCATTGTACCATGTACCTAAAAAAGTGTCGTCCCATGTACCCGTACCACGTACCAAAGCGACCCATGATCCAAGTAACATTGCACCAGTCGTGGTTGTTCTAAGTTTGTGGCAATTGAGAATGATTCAAGGTCTTCTGAGACACATTAGTTGCAGTTTCATGGCGCGGTATCAGGCGATACAATCTAAAATGAAATATTGAACATGATGAGAGATTCAAGTCATATCGCAGCGTCGCGAAATTGTGTCACCAAAAACTCGGCAACTCGAGATTAACTCAAATGATTTAGCCGAGTGTACGAGACTTGGAGTATATACGTATTGTTTAATGGCATTGTCTTGGCCGACTTGTATTTGTATTTGTCGATACTTTGAACCATTTGAGATTTAGTGTCAACGATGGGAGTTGAGTCCAAGTTCATTTTAAGCTACATTTGGCTGCTTGATGACCTCAATATTTCTAATTTGATGACATCTCTTTGTAAAGTTTGTCAAATATAGCACTAGTATCCCCATCAGAGAAATAAATAAATGAGTAAATCTAGAATAACTATGACTGTTAATAAAGTTATTGGCAAGTTTTCTGCTTTCTAAAAAGAAATTAGACGATGATGCTAAATAAAAAGGGATCTCTTCTTACTTGCATGCATTTCCCCATTACGGTAATCTCATTGCATGTATGTTTAATGACATGCTTCACATGAGATATAGAAATTGTCTGTATTGGTTTAAGAGGAGGGTGTTAATCAACTAGTGGATAGTTGTGGTCTGCTAGTTGTGATCAACGTCTTTTGCGTGGTTGTATTTCTTTTACTTTGAGTTTTGGTTCGTCATGTAGGTAAATGCCTTCAGAGGTATGCATTACATTTTTAGATGTGGTTGATCAGTTCCTTTGTAGGCAGCTAGGAGTTTTGGGTCATGAATTTCTTGATGAATTATGTTGCTGCTAAGGCATTTGGGTGCGTGAATTTAGCTGATACATGCGGGCAAGTTAGAGAAAGATACTTGTGATACATGATATTATCTTCCAAGTGTATGGAAAAGATATGAATTCTGGAGCATTTGTATTGGATGCATGAGTTTAGCTGTAACAGTGAAAAAATTGTGTGTATATATGTTTCTTTTTTACTATACCCTATGACAAGCATCATTGACTACGTTGGTTGAGGATAGGTTTTAAGTTTTGTGAGAGATACGCTAGTGTTATATTCTAGCAGGAACTCTACATAGCAAATGAATTTACATTTTAGCACATTTTGCCTGCTAAGGTAAGTTTATTGTTTCTTTATCAGCGGACATACTAATATGTTTCATGTTATGTGTTGGATTTTGCCTCAAGATTTTGAAAAAAGGCCTGATATTTCTTGGCCCTTTGCCACATAGGATTTCATTGGAATGTATTTGTGAGAAATGGATTGTGTAAAACATGAGTCCATGGATTTGTACATAACGAATATATGAAGGAAATCATAGAATATATAGTCGTGACTCCAAGGCAAGATACTGGAAGCAAATATTTAGTCATGACTCTAGGGCAAATACCGGAAGGAAATGAATACATATTCGTGACTTTGGGGCTAAATGCCAGAAGTGTGTGAATGGTCTTGTCTATGCCTTTTCCTCTAATTGGGTTATGTGCATGGTAATGGTGCTGTCAAATTAATCATTTGGGAGATAAATAATCCTAGGGTGGTATAGAAATTGCCTTAATCAAGGTGGGATTGGTTTGAGGTTCTCAAAATTGCTTTTCCAATTTTATTTATATTATCGTGGTTAGAACAGTAGTGTATGAATATGGGTGATAATCTCCTGCCTTGAGTATTAACTAATATCACATGGATGACATAAATTGAGTGGACAAACAGTGCTTGGGGGTCTAGGATATGAAATACTATGGATAATGTTGAGCAATGTGAGGTACTACATATGTTTTTTTTCGTGGGTTGCTGCGTTATGGTTATAGTTAAAAAGTAAAAAAATTACAGGCTAGTTACATGATTTCTTAATTCCACTGTCATTTAGTTGAAAATTATACTTCTGTATATATGACTATTACCACAAATTTTATTAATACCGCTTCTCTTTTATCTGCCATTGTATAAATAAGTGTCAATGGGATTACTAAATGTTTCAAACCAGTAAATTTTGAGGACCAAAATTCCAAAAGGAAGGGAGTGTATAACACCCTGTAAATTTTATTGTGGTCAATTTATATTTTACAAAACTATTAGATTTATTTTTCAAGTTTAAAAATATTTTTGGAATTTGAGGGACTAGATAGTAAATATAAAATCTGTTCCTTGGTTGGCCAGCCGTCATCTTCATGACTTGGCTTAAAATATGACACGGAAGGGGAAAAGGGCATGTCTGCTATCTTTGGGGAAGAAGGAGAGGCACCAACAGGAATGCCATGGTGGGATGGTGAACATGCAGCCTTTGGCTGGACAGTTCATGACATGAATCAAAGAAAATATTTTTTTTTGGTGATTGCCAGTATGTTAATTTTACTTTTAGAAAGAGGAGGAAGGTGGGGTACAATTATAATTTTGAATACATTTTGTGGTAAATTGGTTGAAACTTGCTGAGGCTGTTTTCACTATTTGTCCATAATGGTTATGAACTGGTCATAGAAATTGGTTGAGAAAAAAAGGATGTCTTGGTGGTGTGATTGGCTAAGTGGGAAAGATCAATATTCTGAATTCTCTCTCTCTCTCTCAAGCACACACACACACACACACACACACATATTTTTGTAGGTAGTAGAGGCTCAATACTCAAGTTGTTTTCAGATCTTCTTGTGGTTGGCAAATAACTTTTTTAATTTGCCTTTTATGGTTATATTTTTGACAGTCTAATTTTCTGCTATGATTCAGATATCTGCAGTTGCTAGAATCCGTAATGCCCTGGCTTATGCGACCCACACATTCTTCCAGCAGCATGGGTTTCTGTATGTGCACACTCCAATTATTACCACTAGTGATTGTGAGGGTGCTGGAGAGATGTTTCAAGTCACAACTTTGTTAAGTGATGCTGAAAAACTTGAGAAAGAACTTAAAGAGAATCCCCCTCCATCAGAAGCTGACATTGAAGCTGCTGAGCTTACTGAGAGGGAGAAAGGAGAGGCTGTTACTCAACTAAAATCTGCTAAAGCAACTAAGGGGGAAATTAGTGCTGCTGTTGTTGAGCTTACTAAGGCTAAAGAGAATGTATCAAAGCTGGAAGAGAGATTTTCACTGGGAGACAGAGTAAGGCATAGCGCTGGTATCCCTAAAAAGAATGAGAAAGTTGACTACTCCCAGGATTTCTTTGCTCGCCAAGCTTTTTTGACAGTTTCTGGACAACTACAAGTTGAAACTTTTGCATGTGCACTTAGTAGTGTCTATACATTTGGACCAACCTTTCGTGCTGAACACTCGCACACTTCAAGGCATTTGGCGGAATTCTGGATGGTGGAGCCAGAAATAGCATTTGCAGATATCCAGGTATAGTTTTTGTAAATATTTAATACTCCTTGATAACTTTTTGTGTTTGAGAATATTTCTTGAAAGTTATGAACATTCGGCAAGGATGAAGCAATTAAGTTGGAATTGAGTTGATTCAAACAGAGTTATACATATATATCTATCTGAAATCTGAATATATTCCCAAATAGATCTTGTTTGTGTTGGAGCAATGTACATGTATACTTTTTGCCAATTTTTATTGTACAAATCTAAAACAAACTTGTTGCTTGCTGTCGCTGGAAAAACAAGCTAGCAAACAGAATATATGCAGTTTTTCCAGTAGACAAAGAAAAACCCATAAATCTAGTGGATGAACCTACATAACCTTTTATAAATGAAGTAAATTGTTGTAGGATTAGTGAACAGTTTAAAGGGGGAAAAATGTAGTGGACTGTCTAGAATCTAGGTTGAATCCGGACAAACTAGGAATGCCAAATGATTGGCAAATGCTGCAAACCTATTATCCATGTAACTATTTGGGAGAAGCAGCATCAATACCGAGGGATGAAGAGACATTTGGGAAAAACATTCAATGATTCGTTTTATGTAGTTTTGTTAAGATTAGGTGTACAATGATGGCTAACTTCACTTGCGATTTTCTTCTATCTGAGTGACACCAGTTTATACAAGAATGTGTGACACTTGTTCATAATAGGAACTTCCATTGAACAGACCCATAAATTGGAGATCAGTAGGGAAGATGTTTACTTCAATAATCATGGAGAAAGTTATGATTTCATCAAACTGCTATGAAAATGCAAAAAAAACAGTTTCAATTGGATGCTTAAAGCTTTTTAGTCTCTTGTTCAATTCTTAACTATGTTTTGTGATTTTGCTTAATTATACTAGAAGATGCCAAAGGTTGGACTTTGTTTTGTTTGTAGGATGATATGAAGTGTGCAGAGGCATATGTGAAATTTCTGTGTCAGTGGTTACTTGACAACTGCCTTGATGATATGGAATTTATGGCTAAGAACATTGACCCAACTGCCATTGAACGACTTAAAATGGTTGCCTCAACTGACTTCGTCAAAATTACATACACAGAAGCTGTCAGCATTCTCGAGGAAGCAGCTAAAGAGAAGAAATTTGAGAATAAAGTGGAATGGGGAATTGATTTAGCATCTGAACATGAAAGGTAGCGTGGGCAACATCCATTGACTTCATGTATGTGTGTGTGTATTGATGTCCTTTTTTCTCGTGTACTAATGTCATGATTTGCTTATTTATGTAGATACCTGACCGAAGAAAAATTCAAAAAACCTGTAATTGTATATAACTACCCAAAAGGGATTAAAGCATTCTATATGAAGGTCAATGAGGATAACAAGACCGTTGCTGCCATGGATGTACTTGTACCAAAGGTAAGGCACCCTTTCTCTCTGGATACATGCCAGAAACTTAGTTACGAAAATGTAACGTGCTTCTTCTTTACATATGCTGCTGTTCTTCTTTACAATGCATGTGTGAACATAGAATATTTTGTTTGCATGCTCTAACGACCATATGTCTTCTCTTATTAGGTTGGAGAACTAATTGGAGGAAGCCAGAGAGAAGAGGATTATGAGGTCATTAAAGACAGGTATGAACAAGTCCTCTACTTGATTCTGGTACAGTACACAAACTAAAAGAGCATCTCTATTAAACCAAATTTCTGTTGCTAGTTTGTTATGCTTGCTCATATAATTAATAACAGCTGTTTTTTTTTTTTTGATGAGAATGCATTTCATTCTTTGCAGGATATTGGAGATGGGCCTGCCCCTTGAACCATATGAGTGGTACCTTGACCTGCGGCGCTATGGGACTGTAATGCATAGTGGGTTTGGTTTAGGCTTTGAACGAATGATTCTTTTTGCTACTGGGATCGACAACATCAGAGATGTTATACCCTTTCCCCGATATCCTGGTAGAGCAGATCTTTGAATACAGACTTACATAGTTGCTGGGATTTTAGTGTGAGTAATGGGCTTTCAACCCTACAATATTGTTGCCATTTATTAAAAACTTAATTACAGCAACTGCACAATTTTCTTGTGATGCTATTACCAAAGTTGTTCAAACAAGAACTCCGTTTATCGTGTTGATTTTTGGTCATTGCATCTGATTGGCTGGCTATTCTTGTCGGTTGTCATAGGCATTACATAATTCATTTGTTTGTTGCATGGAAAAAAAGAAAAGAGAAAAAAAAGGAAAAGGGGGAGGGGGGAAGGGGGGGGGGGNCGTCAAAAATAGAGTGGAGTGATATCTGAAGGTGAGATGGTACCTATTATCTGCTGAATATACTAAAATGATTCAAAGCCCGGCCTTCAGTCGAAAATTGGAATCGTGGATAAGGGAACAAAAACATTCTCTTGGATCCTAAAGAGTTTTGGTTTACGAACCTTCAGAATCAAATATGAAAAAGAAGAATTGGACGAAGGTGAGATGGTACCTATGGGAGCAGCTCCTCTGCTCTTGGGTAAAACAGCACATGGTGCTGTAAGACGAAACGTCACTGTTTTATGTCACTATTGATATTTTATTCTTGGATGCCAGAGGCTTCGTTGGCCATATTGCATTTATTTGCTGCTTGGAAGCGGGGAAAGTTTATTTGTACTAGTCAAAATAAAGTGTTGTCATATATGGTGAGATATTACGTAATATCTGCTACATGAATTGTGATGCAGATCTTGTGATGATTGTTTATAGGCTATAGGTCCAGGCTGAATTTGAGATTTTCAAAGTGTTAGTTTGCAGATTCATTATGATAAACCTTTTTATGGTTGCACGCAATCGTGTTAAATCTAGGATTTGTGTCTACTTGGATTCAAACTCCGAAGACAATATGGATTTATATCTTATCAATGCGATCATTCTATGACTTGTCATGGGTATTAAAACATCGTCCACTGATTCAACCCAGGAGTTCAATTTCTGCTACTAAAATTAAAACACCGTTCACTGATCGTACTTACTATTAAAACCATCATGGTAACAACTCCTGACGCATGGCCAGAGTGGTAGACGCATGCCTTGGACCCCTGGTGCAAGCCACACGATGCCCTACCGACTGCAACTTTGTTTCATGCCCCTATATTTCACAGATCAACATGGAGAAAACAAAAAAAGAGCACATTGTAAGTCCTACAAAATTATAATATTTCCTTTATAATCTGCTGGCATAGAGGGGAAATCATGCAAAGTAGAAGCACTAAAATAATAGTCGACTACTAGAGCAGAAAAAAAGACATCATACTCGATGATCCAAGCAACGCTGAACAAAATACTATAACAAACTACTTTGTCTCACAACATTCAAAACTGACAAAAAACTCGATGTTCATTCCTCATCATCTTCAATGATCTTGGTACCCAGACCCTTCAGCCCCTCTGGTGGGATTTCTGCAACAGTAACAAGAGAGTAGAGCTCCTCCTTTGCGTCTTCATCATCGTTCCTCTTGCGGGCAATGCGAACTCTGACCCGCCTTGGGACGCTTCGGATACCCCTGCTCCAGATGTGTTTGTTTAGCTTCACGTCTACTCTAACATCTGTGGTCCCCATGGCTTTCTGTGCAAACTTCCTGATCTCTTTGATGGCTTTTGGAGCCTTCTTCTTGAAGGTACTGTTAAGTCCCATTGAGAGTAGAAAACAAACAATTCAGACCATTTCATATTATCATTAACAGAAAGACACCTTAATAAAGAGGAAATCATGCTTGACATCCACCATTGGAGAATAGGCATCAAGATGCACTCGGCAAGCATAATATACCACTCAAGTCAGGTAACAATCAACAATATCAAGACAAAATACATGGAAGGCATGCAATCAATTCATCAATAAATGTCAAAAACTACCACATTGCAGTTGAAATCACTTGGTATCCTGTTAATTTCACAGTGACTGAACGACAATTCTAATTAATACAATACTACAAAGAAGTGTCATGTGAGTTCATGTTCTAACAAAGAAATGCCTCCAGTCGTCCTCCAAACCCATAAAATAGAGTATTTTACGTTTCCAGTTCATGAAGGCCCCAGTTGATACGTGTTTAGCATCCTGGTATGAGTACATAAAATGCACCATCGACATGTATTGAACAAGAATACATGATTGACTAATATAAAGTGAAAATAGAGGAAGACGGTGATGATGCTGAAGTTGAACAACTTCCATGAGATGCCCAAACATAACTTTAGTCTATAGTTCATTTGATTATCATTTCATATGCTATACCAAAAATACAAATTTGACATAGTACAAGGTGGATCTTTTGGCACAGACACAGACAGATAAGTTTCTCTATTGCTCAAAACGAAAAATTCAGAGATACTTGTCTTTAATAAAATTATTTAATTTAACTTTTTTCTTCATGTTTTAGTAGTTTGTGCAAATATTAAACAACATATTTCCTAACGCTGACAAATGACAAGATTTTAGGAAACTAGCATATTACATAATGGTCACTTATAAAATATTTCCAAGGTAAACAGCACAGGTGTAAAAAGACTAACATGCCCATCCAATTAAAGGAATTGAAAGTAATATGTACTCTGATGTGGTAAACTGTAAGATCAGGTGCACAACATTTAGTAACTGTCTAACAACAATTCAAGAAGAAAGATAAGTATTCTAACAGCAATTCAAGGAGGACTAAAAACAAGGTAAAAACACGCAAGGCTTGGTTTGACTGTGTGGCTGAGCAATAGTATATGTAAACCCCAGATACATGCTGCAATCCTGCTTTAAGTTATTGTAAAAAATGTAAACATCAAGACAACACCAAACAATTTCGGATAGTGATCATTCAACTAAAACAATATGACCAAACCTACCTCAGCTAATTATCACCACCAACCCATTATTTTCTATTTCAATCCGAATTTATTCTTGGTTCATCATTCTAACAAAACAGAGCTTCCAAGAACCAATATGGTAGTATAAATCAATAACTACGACCTAAATGCAATGACTTGAACGGTGTAAGACATCACCCAAACAAGCTAAATCTATCATAAATATTGTTATGCGTCTACATATAAATATGCTTATAAGAGCAATACACAAATCATACAAGTATGCAGATTCTTATACGTCTGAGTCCGTGTATCTATAGATGCATAGTGATTAAGACAGAGATTCGGACTAACCATCCATGCAAGCGCTTGTGAAGATTGATGGTGTACTCACGACTCACCACCTCCTCTTTTCTTCCTTTCGTCTTCTCCACCATTTTCTCGCCCTCTCTATCTCTACAAACAAATGCAACTTCAGTTAAAGTTCTTTTCAAAAATCAATTCAGATCTGCAACAGAATCGGGATGCAATCTATATATATGTGTGTGTGTGTGGTGCTCATGTGAGTGAGAGAGAGAGAAAGAGAGAGAGAGCACCTAGGGTTTGACGGATGAAACTGGAGGGGACGAAGAGTGGAGACGAGAATGAAGCAAAAATGGTGTTGAAGTAAGCGAAAAAAAAAACCCTAGCGGTATAGATTTATAAAGGTCTCTAGGATTCTAATAAAATCAAATGGACCCCCCTCTTTTATAATAATATTAATTCCAGCACTAGAGTTTTTTCACTTTAACTATTTTCTAGGTAAAAATAAATTTTTTTTTTTTTTGGGGGTACATTGGAAAGATAATAAAAACTAAACAGAATTCCTAGAAAAGGCAGTAGTAACTAAGTCTACATTAAGCAGTCTCCCCTGTTGTGGTGGAGGGTCTTCAAGCACAACCATGGCCTCTTGCTGTTGGACTCCAAGATTGGCTAATAAATCTGCACACTGATTTCCTTCCCTTAGAGTGTGCATTATGGGCACTCTGTTCGCATCCATTAGCTGTTTTGCACCTTATAATGAGAACTTTGTTGGGATGTGTCTCTTGTAGATTAGTAACAAGGAGATTGAAGATCTCAAGGGAGTCAGTTTCAACAACGATTGGACCTATCCTTTTACTTGGAGTAATTTCGAGCCCTTTGAGGATTGCCCAAAGCTCAGCTTGGGTACTGGTAGTATCCTCCAATCTTCCAAGGAATCCAAGCATCCAATGTCCTTGTTCATCTCTGAAAATTCCTCCCACCCAAGTAGGTCCTGAATTATCTTTAGAGCCGTCATCAGTGTTAAGTTTCTTCTATCCTGCATGTGAAAAATTATAAGAAATTAGTGAGGGGCTGAAGGTTTGGTAGCTGTGAGCCTTGGAAGGCTTTCACTGAATCTAGTGCTAGAATCCAGGCTTCTCCAGCTATCTGATTTGAATTAGATAAAAGTACTTCCTAAGTAAAAGAAACTCAGACTATTTATGTAAGGAAGAATGCTACTTGAATTCAATTTGTTGACTTATTAATTATTTGTTATTAAATTAATATTGGATTCTACTATTAATTAAAACTCGTTATTAATTGAATGAGTATGATGCAGCATGTCAACAAATAAAATTAATAAATTAAATCGAAATAATATTTTTTTTATTTGAGACTCATGAGAACACGAGCTTTCACTTAGACTGACAACAATACCCATGGATTCTAAGTAAAAGAATATTTTACACTTCAAAAATATATTTAAATTTTTAATTTGAGCCTCGAAAGATTAAAACTCTCATATCAGTGGTAATGTGGCCTAAACCTAATTTGTTACTGCTTTGTCTAATAAATATCAATGGTGAATTATATCCCTTAAAGTTTATACTTGATTTCTATTTGACAACTTAAAGATTATTCTTGATTTCTATTTGAAAACTCAACAATCAATTGCAACGATTAAGTTCTTAAACTTTGCGACTAGTTTCAATCAACTCCTTATGTTAAACATCATTACATTGGCATTACATGCCTCGACCACATACACAATTTTGACCGAATTAATATAAATATGAATCAAATCTATGAAAAGATAAATTAATACATTCAATTGAAGTATTCAAATCTATATCCAATGAGTTGTTACCGTAATTTATTCAAAATAATGTCATAATTGAATCACGTTATGCTCTTTTCTTTCATAATTTTTGCTGAATTTGGATTGAACGGCTTAATTGAATGAAAACTCAAAGTTTAAGGATAGTTCAAAGACCAACTCAAAATCAGATGCAGCCTCAAGGGTATAAAAATATAATTTACCCTTTTGAAAAATTATACTCGAGTCAAATTATTACATACTCCCTCATCTTCTAATCGAGCTGTTCTTGACTATCAATAGATCCCCCTAGGGGCGTAGAGCAACACTGAACTTCCATTCCTAGCAGACGCGCAGATTAAGGTTAAAGCTAGAAAGTAGAAGAAACACAGCCATCAAGCTCAAGAACAGTGTTCTTCATCATACAGCCTAGCCTGTTGCTAACAAACGCTGTTCCATCCAACCCCTCAAACCCCACTTCAGAGACCGACCATGTTTATCCTCCACCTTTGTGCACCCCCCTTTCAATTACCTCCTCTCTCACACCTCGAACTTTCCCGTCAATCCAACCAAAACCCGCCATTTCCAATCGTCTCAATTTCAGTTCAAACCTTTTTTCGACACAAGAAATGCTTATTCATTGCTGAATTGAGTCGAAACCAAAGAATGAAGAGTACAAAGTTAGAAGACCAAATAGAAGAAGACAATGTCCATGATGACATTGATTATGATGATGATGAAGATGAGGATGGGTTTTCGGATCGGAGTCGATTTAGAGGAAGAGAAGAGGAGAAGGATTATGACAGGAACCCTGAATTTGCTGAAATTCTTGGGAGTTGTCTTGATGACCCGGCGAAAGCTCGGTCCAAAGTAAGCCAACTATTGCTCCAAACTCTTTGTGAAAATTGCAAAATTTTAATTTTCTTGGTATTTTTGTGTTTTTAACTGACTAATTTTAGTGGGTGTTGAACATTCTGTTGTTCTGAGTCATCAAGAATCGATAAGAATCTTTTCAATGAACGGCAAAAAAATATCTACTGTTGCCCAATTCGCAGAGAGAGAGAGAGAGAGAGAGTGGGTTTACATTTTTGTTGAATTTTTATTATTGGCTGAGGAAGATAATTGAAATTTCAGATGGAGGAGAGATTGAGGAAGAAAAGAAGCAAAATATTGCACACAAAAACTGGCTCAGCAACACCCATGAAAGTGACTTTCAAAAAGTAAGTTGCAAATGGAGACACATATACTATGCATTTTAGCTAGAAATTTATGGTGAAAGGTGTCAAAAGTTATTATGGTGGAAGGTGTCAAAAGTTAAATGTTGATACATAGCAAAATAAACCTTCATACTGCCTGAATGCATGTGTATATCTACTTCCTTCTACCTTTTGGGGATCATTTTCTCTGTGTAGCTTTTGAAAAATGTTTTTGAACAAATTTAATATATCTCACATATTTCAAGAAGAGACTCGTGTGAATTAAGACTAGCGTGACTCTTCCAATCACAACATCAGTAAACAATTTAATTGCTTAAATTCCATTCCCACATTTAGTGGTTCAGACTTCAGAGTTCACGGTCTAGTAAACAAGCATTATGGTTTTCAGAACAAAATTAATTAGAAAATATGATGGTTTCAGTTGTTCAGTACAGTCCAGTCTTGATAGTGGACATTGAAAAAGATACATAGAAAATTGGTATTGTGAGAACATTTAGTTCTGTGATGTAACCAACAATGATTTATAAGAATCCCTCGGTGCTAACAACCCCCAAACAAGCTAGAAAGAATTGCAATATTAGTTTGCTTATATGTTCAAGTTTTGGTGTCATGTCAGCAAAATTGAATGTTTCCTCTAAAATTTACCTTAAGGTTTCAGCGGTGAAACATGCTTACTAGTCACTAGTAAAGATTCAGCTGTCTTAAATCGCGGGAACTCAATAGTAGTAACCAGATAAGTGCTTCTGGGCCAATGCTATTGTTGTGGGAATGCTGATCCATAATGTGATCAGCTTTTGTTAAGTATACCTCTTGATTGGTGATAGAACACACATAATTAGAAAGTCAAAACCATCCATACCAATTAAATCAATTTCGATATTAGCTTCCATCACGAGTACAATGTGTTTACTGATTGGCTCCTTTAGTCAGTTAACGTTTGCTCACCAGAGTTCATGATTCTCTTGTGTGTGTGTTTGTAATCCTTGGACCATGTATTTTTCTAAGTTGCGCCCACCCACCTCGCTCCCCCCAAAAAAGAAAACGTTTTGATCATGTATTTTTTTCTCCAATACAAGCGCAGAAGAATGGATTTCACTAGTAACATGCTCTCTGTCTCTAGTATTGACGTTTATGTTCCTGTTACATCCATCTATGGNGAGGAAGATAATTGAAATTTCAGATGGAGGAGAGATTGAGGAAGAAAAGAAGCAAAATATTGCACACAAAAACTGGCTCAGCAACACCCATGAAAGTGACTTTCAAAAAGTAAGTTGCAAATGGAGACACATATACTATGCATTTTAGCTAGAAATTTATGGTGAAAGGTGTCAAAAGTTATTATGGTGGAAGGTGTCAAAAGTTAAATGTTGATACATAGCAAAATAAACCTTCATACTGCCTGAATGCATGTGTATATCTACTTCCTTCTACCTTTTGGGGATCATTTTCTCTGTGTAGCTTTTGAAAAATGTTTTTGAACAAATTTAATATATCTCACATATTTCAAGAAGAGACTCGTGTGAATTAAGACTAGCGTGACTCTTCCAATCACAACATCAGTAAACAATTTAATTGCTTAAATTCCATTCCCACATTTAGTGGTTCAGACTTCAGAGTTCACGGTCTAGTAAACAAGCATTATGGTTTTCAGAACAAAATTAATTAGAAAATATGATGGTTTCAGTTGTTCAGTACAGTCCAGTCTTGATAGTGGACATTGAAAAAGATACATAGAAAATTGGTATTGTGAGAACATTTAGTTCTGTGATGTAACCAACAATGATTTATAAGAATCCCTCGGTGCTAACAACCCCCAAACAAGCTAGAAAGAATTGCAATATTAGTTTGCTTATATGTTCAAGTTTTGGTGTCATGTCAGCAAAATTGAATGTTTCCTCTAAAATTTACCTTAAGGTTTCAGCGGTGAAACATGCTTACTAGTCACTAGTAAAGATTCAGCTGTCTTAAATCGCGGGAACTCAATAGTAGTAACCAGATAAGTGCTTCTGGGCCAATGCTATTGTTGTGGGAATGCTGATCCATAATGTGATCAGCTTTTGTTAAGTATACCTCTTGATTGGTGATAGAACACACATAATTAGAAAGTCAAAACCATCCATACCAATTAAATCAATTTCGATATTAGCTTCCATCACGAGTACAATGTGTTTACTGATTGGCTCCTTTAGTCAGTTAACGTTTGCTCACCAGAGTTCATGATTCTCTTGTGTGTGTGTTTGTAATCCTTGGACCATGTATTTTTCTAAGTTGCGCCCACCCACCTCGCTCCCCCCAAAAAAGAAAACGTTTTGATCATGTATTTTTTTCTCCAATACAAGCGCAGAAGAATGGATTTCACTAGTAACATGCTCTCTGTCTCTAGTATTGACGTTTATGTTCCTGTTACATCCATCTATGGATTTATTGCTTCCGCTGCTTCATCCTTTCCATTGCATCTGTTGAGTCACTTAAAATTCGTATTTGATCATCTCATGAGTGCTTCTTTTTGTCCACTTATTTCTTTTAGCTGTGATTGCAGATTTGATTTCTCAAACTCATATATATGGTTTGAATTCTACAATGCCCCATTGGAGCAAGATGTTTCCTTAATTTGTAATGTGAGTCACTTCTGTTCAACTTTGACTATTTTTTATTCACAAAGGGATTTGAATGACAAACTTGATGTAGCTTATCTGCAGACTATTAGGTCATGGCACATTATTGGACGTCTTGGTGGATGCAATTCCATGAATATGCAAGTAAATTCCTTTAGTTGTTCTATTTAACGTATGATTTTTTGGGCTGTAGTTAAGTGACCTTCAGAGAACTGGATGTCAAGTTGCATTGCTTGCATAATAATGGACCGTTAGAGGAATATAATTGGTTTTAACATACATAGTTTTAGTATTAGAAATTCCTTTTGCCAACTCTCACTCTAGGATTTCATGTTTGTGATACTCAAGAACTTAATCCTGATTCTTGCAGTTATCACAGTCTCCTTTGGATAAAAGACCTAGTTATGATACCATTCGGGGAGCAAATGTTAACCCAGCTACATTTTATAACATTGGGGACCTTGAGATTCAGGACAACTTGGCACGCATATGGTAGGGGCCTATTCTTAATGTATTTATTGTTTGGTAGTTACCGAGTCTGAATTTATTGTTCATGGTTGTGTAGTAGTTTTTCACGGATAAAAAAGAATGATGGTTCTTATAAATTTGTGTATATTCTTTTGACAGGGTAGATATTGGAACTAGTGAACCACTGCTGTTAGATATTCTGATAAATGCATTGACACAACTAAGCTCCGAGTAAGTTCCATATCTCTTCTTCTTTCAAAAAATTTGTAGTCACATTCTCCGACTCATTTTCTGAAGTTTCATCAAACTGGGAATAAATGTCACGCACAGATGTCTGTACCCACAGAAACAGGAACGGAATTTAGAATGGGCTCTGTGGCCTTTGCAAAGAATATTGCTATAATACCTGCTTTCTGATTCTAATTGTCAATTGTGTAGTAGATACAAGCTTAACATTGATGGCTTGGTTATGCGTTCTTCTATTCTTACACTTTCTGCTTCCAAAATCGTCCTTGCTCCATTTTTCTCTTTTTTCGTTTCTTCTTCCCTTTGCAGGTCATTTTTTACTACCTGAAACCTTTCTGTGTTACAATGCCTGTGGCATTCGCTGAATAGGGGCTTGAGCATTGAATTTTCTATTTGCAAACATATACACTAACTATGCCCCATGATTTCTTTTTAACAGCTATGTTGGAATTAAGCAAGTGGTGTTTGGTGGATCTGAGTTCGAGAACTGGACGGAGAATTTGAAGTCAGAGGTTGCAGGTTGTAGTGTTCACAAAATTTAGGCAATTTAACACCCCCAGTATATCGATCACTGGACCTTTTTCCTTTTCCTTTTCGGCTGCTCTTTGTTCCTGATCAAACCAAGAAAAAGGTATAGAATCTATGGATTAGTCGAAAAACCATAGATTGGCAAGAGGCTAAAGGTTTCATGTATCATCCTCAGAGCAAATTTTCACAAGGTCATGTTCTCATGTTCATCGGGTTTCAAGACCAAAAGCCGTGTTTAAGTTTGAATTTCATTAGTTTCTGTTGAAGTTTTTTGTTCTGAGCCCAGCTTTTTTAAAAATATACTGGCTTTAGGAATATAGGTTTGATAATGCAGTGAATGAGTGAACTTTGAGACTTATCTCCATAGTAGACTTAGAGCAATTCCAACGCAACTCTCCATTTTAGTTACTCAAAATATATTTAAATATTACATTCTTTATTTTAGAAAGATACTTTTAAATGTTTATTTCAACTACACTCTCTATTTTAGCTAACTATTTTACCTAACTTCCAATAGTTTAAAAGGGATTGTAACATATATAGAGAGAGAATTTGGAGAGACTGAATGACTCTCCAAATTTGGAGAGCTATTTGGATGAAATGGGAAGTAGAGATTGGGTTGGAGAGTTTCTTTCGTGTTTGACTAGATAAAATAGCTAAAAAAATAGGAAATAGAAAATTTGTTTGAGTTGCTCTTAGTAGTGACAGTGAGAAAACTCTCTCACTGCCTATATATTGAGTTTTAGGGAATGCTAATATGCTATGAAGATTTTGAAAGCCTTGTTGCTTCTGAAAGGAAGTGTTGCTTTCATTTATATGATAAGTCGACGGTACTGAAAAGTTTATTTTTTGGTATCGTACTACAAAATATTAAGTTTTAGTGTTAAATTACAGCCTCGGGTGGAGTTAAAATATTTGGGGTGCTCGAGATCGATCTTAACAATTAGGATAAATTCTAAAAATGGTGTTAATTTTTAGAATGGATCACAATTTTAATTTTTTTGTTGTAACTTAATCTAAAAAAATTATATTTTGAATCAACAAATTATATCTAATTTGAACACTTAAAAAAATAATTTGCTTAAAAGGAAGAACATCAAAAAATTTTCAACAGCTATACTATAAATTCAAAGCAAATATAACCTCGGAGCTTGCATCGCAAAATCTAGATTCACGGTGATACTTTACAATACAAAATAGATTGAAGAAAACGGATGTAACTTGACTCTCAAAATGGAGCAATTGGAAAAGAACTGAAAAAAGTACAGAGCCTGATGCTGTTTTTCTTTAACTCACTGCCGACCATGCATCTTGATGGCCTGTCTGTTCCTCCTCTTCACACCAGACTTGGCAACTTTAAGACTACTGTTAACGGAACTAATCCTTCCAAGGGCTGCACTTTTCAAATCTGGTCTATAGTAGTTATCTGCAACCTGAATCATCACAAAGCAAATGATTAAAACGTTCGGACATTTAAATAGGTTTGCCATATTCTAATTGGGATTGAAAGGGGGTAATGTGTATATACATAAACATCACACCAACGTCAAAACAAGTTAAACAAAGTTAAAAACTGCTTGTCTAAACATAAGTCAGTCACAACTGCAATCAATTGATGATCCAAGGCTAAATGCAAAGTAATTGAAGTACAGAAACAGTAATAGAGGATACACAATCCACAATTGAAATCCAGATTTTGTCAGGTCCCATGCAAAAGGATAACATTTTATGACAACCAACATTCTTTTTTTTGGGGGGAATAGGGGTTGGGGGATGGATTTGGGCATGTCAACCTGTGTGCGTATAACATTTTTTTTCCCCGATAAGAAACGATGTGTGCGTACAACATTAGCAACAATGTTTTTGGATGTTGGCATCTCCAAATCACTAAGTGATTTTAGTACGGTTGATATCCCATGAGATGATCAATTGCAACCACTTTCAAATGCTAAATTTACTGAAATAGCTGCAATTCCAAATGACATAAAAAACAGAGTTGACATCTATGAGGAGTGAGATTAAGGAGGGTGAAAGTGTGGGGCATGAGGAAATTGGCTATGATGAGTTGAGGAGAGCAAGTACTATCGCAAGATCAACGATATAACCTAATATGTCTCAAACAAGCGAGCCATGCTCCAAGCTTATCCGTGAAAGATTAGAATTTGCTGAACTGCTAAGCAACTAGTGGCGTAATATCAAGATTAAAATTGATGCGACAAACCATCGATGTAGTGACAAACATTTAATGCAATCATTAGTCGGAATTTGCACACTAATCCTTTCTTCGTCAAGAAGACGAAGAAGAGAATTGCCCCCCTAAATTCTTTCATCATCATTCAATACCAAGGTGTGCTCGGCAATCATGAAACTTCATTTCAATTTTAACTTGGTTTAATAGAAAGAAAGAATAATGTTCCAATTAAGTCCAAGAAAGCAAACGTTGAGGTGTCCAGAGAGATTGTAGACATATATCAAACCACCCAAAACCTAAATCCTCTAATAAGAGTCCACCTTATCCACTTGAACGGGAAAGTATTGCCATTTTGCCCTTTTTGAGGCCACATTTTTTTCAAAAAAAGTACGGTGTTCTCAGAACCTAAACTAATGTCTTTTGACCTTGGAAAAGTATATCGGCATTAGCTTCAACTTGAAATCCTAAGCAACATAAATACACTCTGATTTGTCCATTTTATAGGAGCCCATGTTCACACAGCTATTACTCTTCGTCACAGACGATTAAACCATATCTCCATCTGGGGAAGCTCCTTCAATGTTCTATCATTTCGTTCATTTTTTAAGGCATTACTTCTACCCATCAATGAAAATGTACTTCATCAAATAAAGACACACATATCTACAAAAGCCTTTCTTCTTTCTGAAATTACCAAGCATTCCTTAAAACTAGGCATGGTTGATCATACTCATCATTTGCAAAAACCCATATATTCTTCTTGAGATACAGAATTCCACAATGCAGAGGCACACTTTATATTCAAATAGACTCAATAAACATGCATGCATATCACAGCAGAATGTGTCCAATCCAATACCTGATTGGCAACAGCCTTAGCCATTCGTGGAAATTCCTTCTTCATCACCGACTTATGAAGCAAAGAGGCAGGCTTGTTCTGCTTCTTCGACTTCGTCATTCCCAGCAACACTGACAAATCCTTGCCCCCAGGTTGTATTATCACTGTGTTGTAGTTTGCTAACCCTATATTCGCCCCCACCAAAACAAAAATTCACTCTTCTGCAAATATACAACAAACACACACACACACACATTATTACAACTAGTAAGTTGAATTCTCAAATTATAAACACACAACAATGATTAAGATTGATCAAATCTTCGTCTATTTTGATCCAATGGTACAAAATTAAGCACAAAATTTTTTTTTTCTCCTCAAAAACATCATATTCTCTACATGCCGCTAATGTCAGATAGTGCAATCAACATACTCCCTAATGCCAAACAATATTATCAATCCACACCTTCATCTCTTCTCTTCATTTTTAATTTTGAATTGCGTAATTAAAAAAAATTGAACTGTTATTTACAATATAAATATTATAGAACGATTTTTAGTATTGCATAATGTCATTAGACACAAGATTATAGCTAGTATATATATATGAAGTACAAAGTACCTGAGTGTTTGTAGGAGTTGAGATTGTTGCTCTCCTTGCTGAATTGAACCATGGCGGTTCCATTGCCGAACTCTTTGACCAGAAAGGAGTTGTTCTTCTTCACGATCTCCCAAATCAAAGGCCCTGGAAATGTTGACACTCTGTCACCTATCAACAAAGTAACAACAGATTTCAGATATACACAAAAACAATTCCAAAAAAGCTCAATTGATTTGAAAATGAGGTGCATGAGAAAAACAAATAGCAGCCAGATGATCAAGCTCAGACTCGTAAAATGAAAAAATGTGAAGGTGAGAGGGAAAGTGAAATAGATATGAATACACTAACCAATGAAGCAGAGTGGAACAGGGTTGGTAGGCCGCAGAGACGGTGGTGAGTTAGTGTAACATAGGGGGTGGGGGAATTGAAGGAGGGAGGGCTTAGTCGTCGATTCAGTTGTTTGGTCAAAGACGAAGAAACAATTTATACTCGTCCGTCCCGAACAAACATATTAATTCTTCAGCAAAGTGTTTTATAATTCATTTACTTAATTTTGAAAATCTTAACCAAATCGGGCGTTTGGTCTAGTGGTATGATTCTCGCTTTGGGTGCGAGAGGTCCCGAGTTCGATTCTCGGAACGCCCCCCAGTTGTTTCGAAGCTTTCTATGTTAGATGTATTTTTGGACCTTTTCACTCTTCTCCGCGACATACGCCAGATAGCGGCGACTCCATATTTCTCCCATCGCAGATATCTCTCTCTCTCTCTTTTAGGAGACTCTGTCTCTTTCTTCCTCTCTAATTTTCTCACTGGCTCTCTCTTTCTGACCACCATCCACCACAATTTTTTGCCACCCCACCTATCCAATTATTGATTTTTGTCCAATACCACCGCCACATCCTCCACCACTTCCTCCCCGTCAACCCCGGCTTAATCCACCCTATTGCCACCACCACAGACAACTGTCGCAACTACTACCATTGCTTTCGCCATCGCTACTGTCTAACCTCCACACTTTTCTTTGCTCTCCACATTCCGAATCATAGCCCCATGGATGTTCGATGAATTGTCTCAATAAGTGTCTTGAATATATTCTTTTAATTTCTGTCTTCGGGTTTGATTAGATAGTTAAATGATTGATTTCTATGTCGTTGTTATTGTTGTGAAATTGGGGGTGATCCCTATGGCGTAAGTGCATTGATTTCCCCTTCATCGTGGCTAACAATGACATTATAGGAATAGCACGACATGTGACTCACGGACACGACACACGACACCCCTACCTTTAATGACCCAGGCACCATGAATTTCCCACCCTATTCAAATGTGTTTGTTTTTTGATTTTGGATTCCCATGGCCGTGGTTTATGTGATACGAGTCAATTAAAATTAATTTTCAAATCTATCTCATTCTCGATTTAAGATTCTATTTCGGTTTTCTTCAAGGTTCAAAAAACAATAACAGACGCTACAAAGACAACTTATATGGACTCTGCCAATGTACTGTTATTCGACCACCATTTCTCAGTGATTCTTATTTAAAATCATCTATAATTTCTTGGGGCCATTCTTGGTTGGTACGAATTTACTTGGATCTGTAGTATATTCTATCTTGTCATCAGTTCTTTAGACTAACATCTACTTATCAAAATCCAAACTCGGTTGTGGGTAGAGGCATGGTTTTCCATTTAACAACCCATGTGGAAATATGGAACATCAAAGCTGAAACATTGGTGCAAATCTACATTGTTGAATGACACTCAACTGTCTTGGCCAGCTCTGCTCTTTGAATACTNGGGGGTGGGGGAATTGAAGGAGGGAGGGCTTAGTCGTCGATTCAGTTGTTTGGTCAAAGACGAAGAAACAATTTATACTCGTCCGTCCCGAACAAACATATTAATTCTTCAGCAAAGTGTTTTATAATTCATTTACTTAATTTTGAAAATCTTAACCAAATCGGGCGTTTGGTCTAGTGGTATGATTCTCGCTTTGGGTGCGAGAGGTCCCGAGTTCGATTCTCGGAACGCCCCCCAGTTGTTTCGAAGCTTTCTATGTTAGATGTATTTTTGGACCTTTTCACTCTTCTCCGCGACATACGCCAGATAGCGGCGACTCCATATTTCTCCCATCGCAGATATCTCTCTCTCTCTCTTTTAGGAGACTCTGTCTCTTTCTTCCTCTCTAATTTTCTCACTGGCTCTCTCTTTCTGACCACCATCCACCACAATTTTTTGCCACCCCACCTATCCAATTATTGATTTTTGTCCAATACCACCGCCACATCCTCCACCACTTCCTCCCCGTCAACCCCGGCTTAATCCACCCTATTGCCACCACCACAGACAACTGTCGCAACTACTACCATTGCTTTCGCCATCGCTACTGTCTAACCTCCACACTTTTCTTTGCTCTCCACATTCCGAATCATAGCCCCATGGATGTTCGATGAATTGTCTCAATAAGTGTCTTGAATATATTCTTTTAATTTCTGTCTTCGGGTTTGATTAGATAGTTAAATGATTGATTTCTATGTCGTTGTTATTGTTGTGAAATTGGGGGTGATCCCTATGGCGTAAGTGCATTGATTTCCCCTTCATCGTGGCTAACAATGACATTATAGGAATAGCACGACATGTGACTCACGGACACGACACACGACACCCCTACCTTTAATGACCCAGGCACCATGAATTTCCCACCCTATTCAAATGTGTTTGTTTTTTGATTTTGGATTCCCATGGCCGTGGTTTATGTGATACGAGTCAATTAAAATTAATTTTCAAATCTATCTCATTCTCGATTTAAGATTCTATTTCGGTTTTCTTCAAGGTTCAAAAAACAATAACAGACGCTACAAAGACAACTTATATGGACTCTGCCAATGTACTGTTATTCGACCACCATTTCTCAGTGATTCTTATTTAAAATCATCTATAATTTCTTGGGGCCATTCTTGGTTGGTACGAATTTACTTGGATCTGTAGTATATTCTATCTTGTCATCAGTTCTTTAGACTAACATCTACTTATCAAAATCCAAACTCGGTTGTGGGTAGAGGCATGGTTTTCCATTTAACAACCCATGTGGAAATATGGAACATCAAAGCTGAAACATTGGTGCAAATCTACATTGTTGAATGACACTCAACTGTCTTGGCCAGCTCTGCTCTTTGAATACTCAAGGCATTTGAATTCTCATATTCTAGGTTATTCCTCATGGTTTAACTTTGTCGAAAATCGAAGTGTTAAAATGGATTTGTATTTTAGAGAATTAGTTTGTTATTGAAATTAAATTTCATATTTTTAGTTGCATGTTAATATTCCAATTATTCCGTGGTGATTTTTCAATTGAATTCTCATTTTTACTAATTGTTGAAATATGGAAAGAAAAAAAAGTAACTTATTTGGAATGTCGTAATATTCAAGTTTTGGTGCTCTTATTGTGGGTTCAGTTTTTTTTTTTTTTTGCACTTAAAAGTACTGGACCAAAGTATAGATCATGCGATTCTTTCGAAACTTATATCACGATTCTAAGTTCTAAGCTACAAAGCAATCTCAGAAATTCCTTGCAAATAAATTTCACCCGCATTCTAACGCAGTGGAATTACTAACCCAACATAAATCTTGTTGCTTACTTTCATTTACGTTAAATTTTACTGACACCTTGGATTTAAGTCATATTTTATTGACACTTTTTTAGTTTTTGAAATATTACTGTATATCCTTATCAGTTTTGTTCCCTAATAGAATATGTAATTTTATAAAATTACCCTTATTAGAACTCCCATTTTACTTAATTACCCATACTCAAATTAATACAAAAATAATCTATAATTTTATTAAATTGACATCAAATTGACCTTGAATTTTTTTTGATTAATATTCAATTTTATCCAATTAAGATTTAAGTTTAACAAATTAACACTAAATCAATATTTAATTTCATCAACTTAGCACTAAATTAACATCCACATTCATCAAATTAGCATTTAATTAATCCAATTAACATTTAATTTTATTAATCTAATATCAAATTAATATTCAATTTTATGAAATTAACACCAAATTAACATTCAATTTTATTAAAATTACATTAAACTTCATCATATTAATATTTAATTTGATCTATTTAACACCAAATTAACTATCAATTTTATCAAATTATCAATTTTGTCAAATTAATACAAGATTTTACCAAATTAATGTGAAATTGATTTTAACTTTTATAAAATTATTATTTTATTTCAACAAATCTATGTTCAATTTTATAAAATTAATACCAAATCAATATTTAATATCATCAAATTAATTTTAAATTTTTAACATTTAATTTCATCAATTTAACATCCAATTTATCAAACTAACATCATTTTTTTGATTGAATTTTAAATTAACGTTCAATTTTATCAAATAAATACCAAATGGTCTTTTAATTTTATAAAATTAACACTCAATAGATCGAATTGTCTGGGCTAATGATCCCAAAGGTCTTTTTTCGGTTCAATCCGCATAGGAACTTTCTTAGATTAGGAAAACTAGTCGGAAGGCAAGCACTACCAAAGAAGATTGATTTTGAACAGGAGCAAGACTACTCATGCCAATTGCAATTTTAGAATCCTTTACCTCAATCAACAACGGATGCCAAGAAAAGGTACTCGACATATGATCTTGAGTTCTATGCATTAGTGCGAGCACTTCCCCATTGGCAAAATTCTTTACTACATCTAGAATTTTTGGTATATTCATATCATCAAGCTCTCAAATATTTGAATTTGTAGAATAAATTTAATCCAAAACATACAAAATAGATTTCATTCATTCAAGTGTTTTCATTCTCGTTGAAATACAAATCGAGAAATTCCTACTTCTGGAGTTATAGTAGAATAAGTGGTTCAGAGTTCAATGAGTTGCGACAGATTACGAGGATTCAAGCTCGACTGGTGGCAATGGATCGAAGCGGGAGCGGAGGCAAGGGCGAGGGCGGTGCCGTAGTCTCTATCCCCGTACCCGCTTAAAAAAACTTCATTCATCTCCTGTCCACCTTTATTAACAAGTATAATTTTTATTTTCATCCCCGTCTACAGATAAATTTATAATTCGGATAAATTTATAATCCCTACCGCTGCCCCCGTCTATCTTACCCACCCAAGCCCAACCCAACATAATCTAAAATTCTAAATAAATCTAATATTTTAAATAATTCAACATAATTATAAAATATCATAATATAATTAAAAACTTGTTATCTACAACTTAATCCAACATAATATAATTAAAATTTTATCTACAAAAAAATTCAACATAATATAATTAAAAGTTTATCTCTTATGTAAATCCAACATAACATCATACAACACAACATAATGTAATATCACATAATTCAATATAAAAATACAAAGATCTCCGCTTTTACAAGCTAAAAATATGAAGAAAAAAAATCAAAAAATAAAAAAAAAATTAAAAGAAACAATAATAATAACAAGAATAACAATAACAAGAATAACCATAATCATATGTCCATCGTTTCGAATACGAGTATCTCTATATATGTCCATCGTTTAATACGTATGGTTTATCCCCGATTCAAACAAAACAGGTTTAGACAAATACTTATTTTTATCCGGTCTACTGCCATCTCTAGGTAGGGCATCCGGCGTGGGTGGGATCAGGAAAGCTAGCCGGAAGGCAACTGAAAGTGCTATCAAAGAAGATTGATATTGAACAGGAGCAAGACTAGTCATACCAATTTTACTGTCCACTTCTGTTTGTTTTGTAGCCAAGCATACTAGCTAGAGGGCACAAATTTCAAGCTTCTTATCTTTATTGGATTTGACTATAGTATCATAAAAAAAAAAAATTGGGATCATACTTCTAAAATTTATCATTTTAAAGAGTATTTTTATAATTTTTGTGGATTGCTTTATAATTAAAAAAATTATCATGTTTGATTTATCACTTTTGTAGGTATTTTTATTACTATCATGAGTATTTTAATTATATTTTTGATAATTATTTTTATTACTTTTTTCAGTACAAAAAAAATATTATTTTTGTTGGTGATTTATTATATTTATACATATTTTTATCACTGTTATAGTAATAAAAAAAATTATAAATATGATAAATAGAAGTATAATATCAAAAAATTATTTTTCGATATTCAAGTCAACTCTATCTTTATTTTTGATTTTTTAACTCAGCTTTTATCCCGTTTGTTTTGTAGCCCAGCATGATAGAGTAGAGGGCACAAATTTCATGCTTCTTATCTTTATTTTCGATTTTTTTGACTCAGCTTTTATCCCGTTTGCTTTGTAGCCAAGAATGATAGAGTAGCGGGCACAAATTTCAAGCTTCTTATCTTTATTTTCGATTTTTGGACTCAACTTTTATCCCATTTCTCTAGCATCTCATCAATTTTTTTTCTTCCTTCGCCGGGCTTTCATAAAGATTTAATCTATGGATTCACCTAGATTGCAATTCTATCAGAATTTATCTAGAATTTTCTCTCCAACTCCTTAAACTCTGCAGTTTCAAGTTTTTGCCTCGGACTTAGATTAAGAAAAACAGTGAAATCAAGAATCCCGATAATTCGTAACGAGAATTTTTCTGCACAAAAAAACAAGTGAGCATTTGTTTTTGTTTTTTTTGTTATGGGTTAATGTCATTTTGTAATTTGAAAGATATTTTCATTTTTATTTATATTCTCAAATATTAAAAATATATTAATTTATATCTTGAATGTTATGAATTGGTAATAATGTGAATTTTGCCAAAGACTACTGTTTATTTTTTCTTCATAAATTGTAGGATGTGAGTTACAAGTACTTTGGTTATAGGCTTATATATAAATTTACACACCGTTGACGTCTTATGTGAGTTGCACATAATAGACTTGATCTCTATTTGATTAATAAAATTTTATTTTATGTGTCATAAAATGATGTTAAATTGATCTCAATCGAAGATCTGCAGGGATTGACACATCTCATCCTCGTGTGTTCAAATACTTGCAACTCATGTGCTTCAATATATGACATAAAATTGTACATTAGTCTAGGCGAAGTTATATTATTATCAATTCATAACATTGAGGGTGTAAATTGATTTTTTGAGCAAATATTTCTAATTTTTTTTGTTAAATAATTGGCTTAGATTGATTTAAATTGCATAATTAAAGAAAATAAAAAAAATAAATTGGTGAATTTTCTATCATATATTTTGTAACAAATATTTGACAAATTGGAAAAATGTGACCGAAGTTAATAAGGACATGTTTGGTTGAAGGATAAGGAGGTGGGATTATGGAAATAGTACGTGGGGTCCATCTTATATCTTATTTGTTTAGCCTTTTACAATCAATATTATTTTTTGGATCATAATACCAAACCGGTGTGAACAGTGACTTAAATGTCTTCTATATGGTACTAATAAATACCATCTATCCGGTGGTATTATATTTCCGGTACAATTAAAAGGACGGTATAATAAAGTAAAAAGACATAAATGACCTCCTATGTGAAGAGTTCACATATAAAATATTTATTTTAAATTTTTTCATTATATTATATTTAAGCGTACGGTGTTATCGGTTTTTTTTTTGTTAAATTATTTTGAATTTTTCCTTATATCATATTTAAGTGTACGGTGTCACCGTTTTTTTTTTATTTTTTTAAAATTTTTTTAAATTTTTTCTTTGTATCATATTTCAACGTACAATGTCAAGAATTTTTTTTTATTTTTATTTTTTAAAATTATTTTGAATTTTTTTATATTATGTTTAAGCGTAATGTGTTAACGATTTTTTTAAAATTTTTTTAAAATTTTTTTTGAATTTTTTCCTTTTATTATGTTTAAACGTATGGTGTTAACAGTTTTTTTTTAAAAAAATTATTTTGAATTTTGCTTTATATTATATTTAAGCGTATGATATCACCGATTTTTTTTTAAAGTTTTTTTTTACGGTATCACCAATTCATGGCATTAGATTATTATATATATCAAACATTGTGCAAAAGCATTACATAAACGAAGTAAAAGAATGAAATATGTTAAGGGTAATTAGACCAATCTACATGGGTGTTTTTGTAATTAGACCAATAATATCTTAAACAAGTTGTTTAGGTAATCTTTTTTTTAATTTTGTATTTGCTTATATACTTTATATTTATTGGCAGGTAGCTGACGTGCTTAATCACATCTGTTTTGCGTTGAAAAATTGAGTGTTGTCGTGTTTAGTTTATTTTGTCTTTCATTGCTATGTTTCTTTATTATTGAAATTTTTGTATGGATTTAGAATTAATTTTTTTAGTGGTCGAATCTGATTGGTTTTTTTTGTATATTATTAGTTGATACTAAACTTCTATGTTGTCTTTGGATTGTGTAATTAGCGTTATTGGATGATATTTTCTTAAGATCTTAATTTTAGGGGAAATTCTTTCCAAATTTTTTAAAAGAACAAAAAATATTTTGATTAAATATTGGTGATTTTTTTATTCAGCATAACACAGTGTTTTTTGACATGGACATTTCTTTTATTGGCCCTACAAGATGATTTTTGAATAAATATTTTTTAGCGCTATTGTTAGTTGTAATTAGTTACGTAGTTTCAAAAATATGAATTTTATGTTTTTTCTGTTAAAATTTATGGCATTTTGATTATTAAAGTTAGATTTTTTTCATCTCTCTATTACAATTTGTCTTCAAGAGAATCTTTATTAATATTAAGAATGTATGCAAAGTGTGGTATATTAAGAATGTGATTTAGATTTTCAGTTTGTTGCAGTCATTTTTGTTGTTTGATTAACTCCATATTGTATCTTTATCAAAAAAAAAAAAAAACTCCATATTGTATTGTACTTTCAGGTACGAGTTGTCACTAGTTTATTATATAAGATATGATAGAATAAATGATTGTTTGTAGAATTTATTATAGTACTTATTAAATAAACAAACAAGAGAAATGATCGGATGAAAGTTTAAGACCGAATATAGTATCCCTTTAGATAGGAGTAAAAAATATATTATTTTTAATACCACCCAAATCTGGTATTTGAAAAAAATATGTCCTACAAGTATTGGTAGCGTGATGGAATTGGGAGGGTAATTTGAGAAATAGGGTGTAATAGAGGGGTTAAAATATGTTTTTAAATTTTCAAATATTACAATTGCACTCCGCCGACACCGGGAACGATTAGATCACTGATCTCCCTCGCCGCTTTCAAAACCATGTCAGCATGAAATTCGGATGTTTTCCTTACTCCACCTTTCTAGGGTTCTAAAAGGAGGCCAGTGTGTTCTGTTTGGCTGTCGAGAAATCGCCAGCATAGGTTGCGTTATACCAAAGCATCACTCACTCTCTCTGTCTCTGTCTCTGTCTCTCTCTTTCTCTGTCTCTCTGTCACTCTCACATCTTGCAGAACAACCAAACAATGGGTGAAGCGATGAAAGACCACCATCTAGAGTCCGTACGCTCCGTGGTGTTTAAAGAATCAGAAACTCTTGAAGGATCGTGTTCTAAAATTGAGGGCTACGATTTCAATAAAGGTGTCAATTATTCTGAACTTCTCAAGTCCATGGTTTCCACTGGCTTTCAAGCCTCCAATCTCGGTGACGCCATTGAAGTCGTCAATCAAATGGTTTGTTGGTCCCCTATCCAAAACCTTCTAAAATTTACCCTTTTTGCCATATTTATTTCTTGTGTTTGATTTTTGGGTATTCATGGGGTTGAAGCTAGATTGGAGGCTATCAGATGAGCCTCTGGCGGAGGATTGCAGCGAAGGGGAAAGAGACCCATCATACAGAGGATCCGTGAGGTGCAAAGTGTTCTTGGGTTTCACTTCAAATCTTGTTTCTTCCGGTGTTCGTGACACGATTCGGTATCTTGTTGAGCATCACATGGTGAGTGGTGTGCAAATGCACTTTGAATGAATTTATTATTCACAATGCATGTGTTTGATGGAATGACTAAAAGGAAGAGAGTTTGATTTGCAGATGGAATTATACTGCACCAATTGCATTGTAGCATGGCCTTTATGTATGTTTATTATGGAACTAAATATTTGAACAAAGCAGACGTCTTGGTTGTACAGCACAGTTGCTTCAACGACCAAGAAAGTTGGCAATTGGACTTACCTTTTAGAAGACATAATGATCCGGTTTTTCTTTGAACTATTGAGGGTCTTGTGTGATCTTCGAAGTACAGCCCTTTCGGAATTAAGAGCAATAAAAAAGAAATCTCGTGTTGGAGATAAGTTGTGATATTACTGCTAGTATATGCATCTTCTGATGGGTTATAGTTCAGTATTTTGGCTTTAACAGCTGTGTGGTTATTGCTCGGGCATGTTGGGTGATTGGATATATTGTGTGAATGAACATATTTGATGATAAACCAATTATTGTGACATCATTTGGTATTAAATTTGCAAACAAAAATTTTGCAATGTTGGTCACAACTCATGACACTTCACGCATAGAGAAATCTAAGCAAGTATAGTTCCTTGTGTTTTTTTTTTAACACCAGTGCTCAAGATAGATGAACTGAGAAGCCTTTGAATCTTTGCAGGTTGATGTAGTGGTTACAACAGCTGGTGGTGTAGAAGAGGATCTTATTAAATGCCTTGCACCCACATACAAGGGTGATTTTTCGTTAGCTGGAGCTGTTTTACGCGCAAAGGGATTGAATCGCATTGGTAACTTATTGGTACCTAATGACAACTATTGCAAATTTGAGGATTGGATCATTCCCATTTTTGACCAGATGTTGGAAGAACAGACTGGAAAGGTATTTATGCTTATTTCTTTACCTTCGATCTGTGTGCACTATTAGTTGGATTTGTCATGAATATTTTTCATACATGATGATCATCCCTAGATTTCGGAGATTCGATCTCTGGATTATAGCCTTAGCTACGGTTGCTGCAGACCTTTCCGACATTGAAGTAAAGTTCATGTTTATAAATAATGCAAATTACATTTTATTACATTAAATCGAACCATTGTCCAAATATGAAGCTGTCCGTTTAAATAAGAAAGTTCTTTCAAATTAATCTGTCTCAGCTCACATTACATAATGACATGTACATGCATATGCATATACATCCACATCATCACACATAAGTTTATCTTAAGTCTACATAGTTCTGCTCCTTGGCACTGATTGATTAATGGTTTTTGTTTCAGTAGATATATAATAAATGTCTTTATAACTATGCAGCCCGTCGGTCCCGCTGGATCAGTAAAACATCAATTCATCTCTTCATTTTCTATGAAAAGCAGGACCGGGAGCATACATTTATTTCCAACAGGGGGATCCTTTTTTTTTAAATGAAACTTCACTTTCCTTTTCCCCATTCTTTCTTTTTGTTTCTAAAATATTCAGTTTTTCCCTCCACTTTGTGATGGGCCATCTTTTGGGGATTACTCATGCACTGTTTTGATAGAGCTTCACTTGAATCTTATTCTCGACTTTTCCTTTTTGTTTTGCAGAATGTATTGTGGACACCATCGAAAGTTATTGCTCGCTTAGGGAAAGAAATAAATAATGAGAGTTCATACTTGTACTGGGCATCAAAGGTATGCCATATTTTGTAATGCTTCCGAACACAAGCTGATTTTTTTTTTTTGCAGTATTTTATTACAGATTACTGGATTAATGTGTCATTAATACTACTGTCATGTTTTACTCTTTTCACGTTGTAAACAATTCTCATTGATCGGCCTTTGCTTTTCTTGCCAAGTTAATGGTAGGATAATGCAGCCCATTGGGTTACTGCAACACTGGACAACTTTGGAACTAAGGTTAATTGTGGAACAATTAAAATCAAGACATCCAAGTAACAGACACAGAGTGTTGAATGGAGACAATATTAGTAGGGAATTTGGATGTTTGGTGAATATAATATCTGAATAAGATATCTGCAATTGCACACTTGCACTCAAGCAGTTCATTGAGCAAATAACTTACAAAGAGGTAAGTGGCAGCTATAAGCTGTGGGAAAACTTGCGGGTTTGGTTCTCATCGAATCAATAAAGTGAAGGTCTGGATTGTTCTGCATATCACGAAAAAGAAGTACACCAGACCTCTAATCTCAAAAAGCTGATGCGCTCATGTAGGATTATCCAAATATATTTTTTGATAAACGGTTTTTGGAAATAAATACTATCCACCATTGGAATGTTTGGAACATTGAAAAGCTGCTAAATTTGGTGGATCTGTTAGGTGTGATTAAATACACGGACACAATTCCACATATGATAATTTTTCGTTTAATCATGCTATTTCTCAATGTGCTCCAATTGACCATAGGTGTTGATATATTTGCTTTCCAGAACAATATTCCTGTCTTCTGCCCTGGCTTGACTGATGGCTCACTGGGTGACATGTTATACTTCCATTCTTTCCGAAATCCTGGTTTAGTCATTGACATAGTGCAAGGTAACAAAACCCCACCCCCTTCATTGTCATTTTGGTAGCTGTGGAAATGAATTGATTTTTTCACTGTATAAACAGATATTAGGGCCATGAATGGTGAGTCGGTCCATGCTGGCCCCAGTAAAACTGGGATGATAATTCTTGGAGGAGGGCTGCCAAAGCATCACATTTGCAATGCCAATATGATGCGTAATGGTGCAGATTTCGCTGTCTTCATTAACACAGCACAAGAGTTTGATGGGAGTGATTCTGGTGCCCGTCCTGACGAAGCTGTATCATGGGGAAAAATACGAGGCTCTGCAAAGACTGTTAAGGTGTATCTTTTCGTATTTAGCTTCCTCCCTTTTGATTTTTTTATTTGTGCTGTTGTGGAGGTTAATGCATTTTTAAAATTTGTGTTGACCTCTTTACCAATTGATTAGATTTATTGTCTAATTCCCACTTAAGTTCTTATCTTCCTAGTTTAATTCGAAACATGCAAACTTTATGAATCTAATTTCTTTATCTTCACTTTATTGTTTCAACAAGGTGCACTGTGATGCCACCATTGCCTTCCCTCTACTTGTAGCAGAAACATTTGCTGCTAAAGTAAAGAAATCCAGCGGTACTATGTCCTAAGATGTTTGGTTAGGTGCAGTTTTAGTTGAGTAGCCTATCCAGATGAAACTTTGCAGAGGTTTATGATATTATTTTAGAAGTGTATTAGAGTCTTTTTGGAGTTGCTGGTTGAAAAGGACATCAGAACTGGCAGGATTGAGGCAGCAGCAAAGTTCAACTTCTCTTTGTTTGGTATTGAGAGGCAGAAACTTTCATGATGTTAATTTGGTGTAAGAATACTGTAGTAGTGATTCATGTAAGTTTTAAATTATATTTATTTACAATTGATCATTGTTTTACACTGTTCAATTTTTTCCCTTTCCGCCATGTTTGGAATTTTATTTGTCATCCAATCTTTCAGAGTGGTTTGGTTTTGGAGAATAGGATTGTAAAATAAACTTACTCGGTTCTAGTCCAAATCAATTGAAGCAAGAGGGGTTCAACAAATATTTGTATAAGTTCAACTCGTTATGGGAAAATAAGTACTTTGACGCAGCTCATTTACACCCTGAAGGCAGCAAAATGTTTGCTTCTTTTTGGTCCTTTCATCTGACAAAATACAGTTGTTTAGGTTAGCTTCCTTTGACATTATCATTCCTTGGAAAGTCCAACCTTTGGAGGTACCGCACAACACCCCAGTAAGACAAAAAAAAAACGTAAAACTTGAGGTTTTACCGAATTGACCGGTCATTTTCATAAAACTAATTCCACAAGGCACGCATAGGCAACACGAGAGGGGCTTCAGCAGAGGGTGACTGGGTTTTATGGGGTTGGCATGGAGAAAATATTGGGTGCAACAGTACTCGTTGGTAGAAAATATCGAGTGTAATGGTGACACTATGTCCCTAGGCTTTTGAGGAGAGTTGCGCTGATCATGTCAACCTTGCAAGAGCAGTAGTGCCGCTTTTGCACACTCAATACCTGAACGGCAGGAACTCTCAAGAGCTGCGCTGACCATGTGAACCTTGCAAGAGGCCATAGTGTCGCTTTTGCAGGACATCCATTGTAGATAGTAACAGAACCAGGCAGTACCAGAGTCCAAAATTTAGGGTGCCACTCCTTATAGAGGAGAGAAGTTATTGTTCAAACATTAGTTTTACCAATAGTGTTTTCAAAAGCCTAGGGGACCTACTAGAGCATTCTTCAAAAAGCATCTGTAGTGACCATTGTTTTTGTTCATAGTCCACATGGAAGTCACCAATCTCTAGTGGATGAATCTAAGATGGTAAGATAAAGAAAGTGGATGGACGGATATGATCCCTTCATAGAATAACATTCTAATGGTTGCACAAGACAGTTTACTCGACAACATATTTTCACATGCACAATGTTTCATAACAATATAAGTCAAGCAAATGTCATCTCAAATTCGCAGACCAGACAAAACAAAAATACTACTGCTTTTTGGCTCAAACCGACATATATGTCATTACAAAATTCATCAACCAACAAATTTAGTACACTCACAGATATATGATCCGATTTATTAATAGTGTAAAAGAATACTCAACACAAGATATAGACAGGTAGAATTACCTACATTCATTGGCGGTTTGTTCGCAGAGACAGTAAATGTGCAGTTATGGTGTCATAGTCGGGAAGTTTTGGATGAACATGACTAGCTTTGTTTATAGAGTTCTCTCTAGATGGAATCTCACCACTCGACGTAGATGTCTTTGGATTTCCATTACTATCTGATGGTACAGTCTTCAGAAGAGAGCTGGATGGCTGTTTCTGTACTGATGACTTTAGACTTTCTACACTTGATGAGACCTTAGACTCTGGCAGTGGATTAGAAGCTGCTTGTTTTGCAGAGATTGGTTGCTCAGAACTTCCCCATTGATCTGACTTTACAGTCTGGGACGGAAGCTTAGGTGTTGTTTCGGCACCATCGGAACTCCTGGTAGGTTTCTCTTCCTTAGTGAAGTCAGAATTCACTGACGTCTTCGAACCAGCTCGAGCCCTAGAATGGGAAATTGTTTCAGGGGAAGGTTTTGTCCTGCGAGAAAATTGAGCCCCTAAACGAGCTCTACTGGAAAATGTTTGTCTTGGAAGATCCTCCTCAAAATCACCACTATCAGTATCAGGACTGAAGTACGTAACTGAAGCTCTCAAGCTCGATTTTGTATTAACATCCTTGCCCACTTTCTGAGAGTAGGGTTGGCGTCTTCCACTTGGAGTCTCTTGTGGAAATTCTTCCGCAGAGTCGTCACTATCTGAGTATGAATGTGTAAGCCTTACTCTTGAGCTCGATTTTTCATCTACTTTTGTGCTCGCACCAGAATCAACATAATTCTTGACAGTGGCAGAAGCATTGGATTGCTCAATCATGGTGGAAGTGTCCTCAGCTGCTTTCATAGGTAAAGATGAAGTGTTGCTAGATGGCCTCCTAGTGTACGGTGGAGGCGTATAACCCTTGTTTCGAAGGCCACCAGTTAATGTTCCAAAGTTCAACCCCTTTTCACTTTCTGGACTCGATTGATTGAAAAATTCATTATCTTTCAACGTATCAGGTGATTCTGGTGTGCGAATACTGTCCTTGACTTCATGGACCAATGAAATCCTTGAAGACTGCAGGTACTGCTTTGTGTTCCCCTCATCCTCTGGACTGTAAGAGGATAATTCACTGCTCACATCATTTAACTCCCATTGCGATTTTCCAAGTCTCAATGATGGCTGGTGGGCAGACGAGTCTGCAAAACCAATTTTTTCAAAAGAGCTGGCATTTGATTCTGTTCCTTGAGTGTTTCTCGGCCGTAATTCCAGAGAGTTTGAATCATCATATGATGAACGTAACCTTGGCTTTCTGTTAGGTCCCAAATTTCCTTTTTCCACTAAAGAAGATCTTGTGGACCCAGGACTCTCACTCTGTCCCATCCTGTCAGAACCCATCCTGTCAGAACCTGAATTTACTTTTTCCAATAAAGAAGATCTTGTAGACCCATGACTCTCACTCTGCCTCCTCTCACGGTTTATAGAGTGATCATCCTCTCCAAGAGGAGGCAGTTTAAAGTCCTTTTTTCCGCCAAGTCTAGAGATGTCCAGTTCATCTTCACTATCAGAATCCTGACCATCTGAATCATAACTTACAGGCGCAAAATGATCAGGTTGTGATTGATCCAGAGATTTTCCCAAGCCTTCCACAAGAGAGGAGTCCCTTCTTGCAGAAAAAATTGTTTGTGAATTATAGTTTTCCACTGATTTTCTTGTGCTGCTTCTAGGGCTCCAAGTATCTGCACTCGTCGAGAAAAGAGTAGATGAATTTCTACCAGGTGATGGGAAGTACGAGTTGCACTCTGGCTCATCATACCTGGGCCCTATGTCAAACCTGCTGTCATCATCATCATCTGAGCCAGGTTCATCAAAAATTGCAGCATCATTATCAGAAGAACTTGTCTGTACAGTGTCTTTGTGAATACTCTCTTGGTCGATATTAACAAAAGAGTCATCATCCGCATCATGCCTAAACTCCTGCTGGTTTGAGATATTAACAAAAGAGTCCTCATCCACATTATTCCTAAACTCCTGCTGGTTGGAGTCTGAAACATTATAGCCATCCTGGAATGCGCTCAAACGAGAATGTGAGGAGATGCTGCTGGACTGTTTTCTAGTTCTTTCTTCACTAGAATGGTCTAAGTTCTCAAACCTAAATCCATCTTTCCATTCGCTTCCAAATTCAACAGCAGATTCAGTAGACTCTTTCTTCATAGTCATTCCGGCAGAGGAGCCCTTATCTGCCTCCTCTGTGCATGAATCCTTTTGAGGATATCTATCTACCGTGTGGAGATTATTCACCAATGAGTCATCATCAATTGAAGGTTTGTTGGACTGCAAAGAATCTAATCGGCTAGATCTCGTAGTACTAGCATGATCATTCTGGTAAAACCTTTCGGCAGCTCCTGCCAGATTATTGTGTTCAATCCCATCCATTTGCTCATTAAGGAACTTATTTCTGTCAATAGAGGAGTTGTTTACTAAATTTTTAGGATGATGTACACCAGGTAAGTTTGAAGCAGCATACTTTCCACACCCTCCATCTCTCAATCCAGGGGGATTGGATTTCTGTGATTCTGATGAATACTGTCTGGTAATCTTGTCACGGGTTGAAAGTTCAGCAGCTGCTCTAGCAGCCATACTTGCCCGTTCCGCAGACTCAGCAGCTGCCTGTGCTGCAGAGATAGCATCCTTGAATTCCATGTTCCAGTTCTGCCTTCCCAGTGAAAAAGCATTGTCATCCCCAGCACATGGTTGCCTGACTTCCATCCTCTCAGCCCCCCCTTCTGTAAAACAAGTAACCCGTAGGTATAATGAACGATGACACAAGGACAGTTAGAAACATGGGAGATACCATGAAATACACACCAATTTCTAGTCTTTTATGATTCATTCTGATACCTGAAGGTCTCGCTTCAGAATGAGAAGTGGCAGATGATGGTGTTTTTAGACCACTAGTATCCGTAGAAGCAAAATTTTGGACACCCATTGAGGAACTTGGGTTCTGCTCAGAGAAGTTGAGAGGTGGTTTTTGGTCATGACTAGGTGGAGCTTGGGCACTTGGAGCTTGGAAATTGTTAGGTTCTGCCAGCATTTTACTGGCCTTCTCGAAAGTATTTGGTCCATTCTGCTTTGTAAAATTCAGCAATTTAATACAAAGGGAACATTAAAAGGTCATGAGATTTATCTTGAATCTATAAATGAACCACTTGAAAGTAATTTATTCTTACCAGCAAGTCATCAGCAGGCTTTGATTCTTTGTCTCCAAAAGATTTAGGATCCCATTTGATGTTGTGTTCCTCCGCAATTGCACCCAATATTTTTATTTTGGTCTGCCCGTCAGGTGCCACTGCAGATAGCTTCTCAACCAACTGCAGTAAGACAGCATAAAGAATGATTAAGGACTTTATGCTGCTCAATCAGCTTCCTTCACAGGAAACTTCTGTAATCAAACAAGAGACAGTCAAGCCGTATGGGACTTACCATGCGACTTACACCACATTCTGGACGCAACTCAACAGCTGCAGNCACTAGAATGGTCTAAGTTCTCAAACCTAAATCCATCTTTCCATTCGCTTCCAAATTCAACAGCAGATTCAGTAGACTCTTTCTTCATAGTCATTCCGGCAGAGGAGCCCTTATCTGCCTCCTCTGTGCATGAATCCTTTTGAGGATATCTATCTACCGTGTGGAGATTATTCACCAATGAGTCATCATCAATTGAAGGTTTGTTGGACTGCAAAGAATCTAATCGGCTAGATCTCGTAGTACTAGCATGATCATTCTGGTAAAACCTTTCGGCAGCTCCTGCCAGATTATTGTGTTCAATCCCATCCATTTGCTCATTAAGGAACTTATTTCTGTCAATAGAGGAGTTGTTTACTAAATTTTTAGGATGATGTACACCAGGTAAGTTTGAAGCAGCATACTTTCCACACCCTCCATCTCTCAATCCAGGGGGATTGGATTTCTGTGATTCTGATGAATACTGTCTGGTAATCTTGTCACGGGTTGAAAGTTCAGCAGCTGCTCTAGCAGCCATACTTGCCCGTTCCGCAGACTCAGCAGCTGCCTGTGCTGCAGAGATAGCATCCTTGAATTCCATGTTCCAGTTCTGCCTTCCCAGTGAAAAAGCATTGTCATCCCCAGCACATGGTTGCCTGACTTCCATCCTCTCAGCCCCCCCTTCTGTAAAACAAGTAACCCGTAGGTATAATGAACGATGACACAAGGACAGTTAGAAACATGGGAGATACCATGAAATACACACCAATTTCTAGTCTTTTATGATTCATTCTGATACCTGAAGGTCTCGCTTCAGAATGAGAAGTGGCAGATGATGGTGTTTTTAGACCACTAGTATCCGTAGAAGCAAAATTTTGGACACCCATTGAGGAACTTGGGTTCTGCTCAGAGAAGTTGAGAGGTGGTTTTTGGTCATGACTAGGTGGAGCTTGGGCACTTGGAGCTTGGAAATTGTTAGGTTCTGCCAGCATTTTACTGGCCTTCTCGAAAGTATTTGGTCCATTCTGCTTTGTAAAATTCAGCAATTTAATACAAAGGGAACATTAAAAGGTCATGAGATTTATCTTGAATCTATAAATGAACCACTTGAAAGTAATTTATTCTTACCAGCAAGTCATCAGCAGGCTTTGATTCTTTGTCTCCAAAAGATTTAGGATCCCATTTGATGTTGTGTTCCTCCGCAATTGCACCCAATATTTTTATTTTGGTCTGCCCGTCAGGTGCCACTGCAGATAGCTTCTCAACCAACTGCAGTAAGACAGCATAAAGAATGATTAAGGACTTTATGCTGCTCAATCAGCTTCCTTCACAGGAAACTTCTGTAATCAAACAAGAGACAGTCAAGCCGTATGGGACTTACCATGCGACTTACACCACATTCTGGACGCAACTCAACAGCTGCAGAAATGAACTCTTTTCCATACTTCGCTGTAAAATGCTTCTTAATATCTAAAAGTTCTGGTATGTCTGCACATCTTGGAGATGCAAATACTACACTTGTAACTGCTTCCTTCAAGTCAATGGGACAGTTCCTGTAGTAATAGCAGACAAAAAAATACATTGGCTTAGTTACACTTTTGGTCTTTATTGTTTCTAGCCTGTCAAAATACTCAATGAAACCTACCGAGTAACCTATATTCTCGTTAAAAGTGAAAAAATTGAATCAATTGTGTGTCATAATTTAGTGTTGTAATCTTGCCAAAACATTCCTATAGGGTTCTCACTCCCCAACCTCTCACCACCAGCCCTTCAACCCCACCCCCCTGGGTCAAAGAAAAATCCACACAAAATATCGAAATTTTTTCCTTCTCTACATTCATGCATACTCCAAAATTTATTGATTCCTCAAACTTCAAAATTTCCACTGCAACTGATGTCAAAAGAAGACAAGAGTGCCAGAAAATAAAATTTGTAGCAGCTATGATATGGACAACCCAATCCCTTGCCCCTTCTAGTTCAATGAAAAAAAGTCATAAATGGGCAAGGCAAGTGAAACACCATGCAATATGTCTTCAAGCAAACAGCAAACTGAGGCCACAAGGCATGTCTGACTGGTATATTAAAGGTTATGCTCTTAGCCTCTTATTTGTCAATTACTGATATTCATGGACAACAAAAAAATTGCAAAAAGTAGCTTATATTGAAGGAGATTCCAGCTATAGGTATTTCTTTAAGTTGCCATCTAACTTTAACAATAAAGTTGCTCCTCCCATATTCCTTTTGCCTTTTGATAAATCTCCTTAAAATCCCCTTATTTTATTGCCTAAATGCAGAGGATATGCGCAGCACAAGACCATTTTCAAGTTTGATCAGATTTTCATCAATTTTTCCTCGGGTTGAATCGAAGGAATTGGTCCAAAAAAAGCATAATATTTTCTCCCAAGGGATCGGCAGGTAAGAAAAAGGCAACATTAAACAGTAACATATCAACCAAAACTCAAAATTTGTGAATCAACAATTTGGAGATTAATCAAATTATGCAAATTTACATACTTTTGTGACTCAATAATTGGCAAGCGCGTCGCAATAAGCTCACAATATATCTCAATAAGATCATACGCTGCCTTCATCTTCTCTTCCCTGACCACATGCTCAACCTAAAATTGAAGTGGAAAAGAGAAATGAACAAAAAATCTGGAGAATAAAACATATGGGATTCTGCCCATTAAACCACTGCATATCAACTCTAAGCTGTGAGAACCATTAATAACTTCTAACAGAGCAGAACTATACCAGCATGCACTCGTCATTGTAAAAGGATTAATATGTAACTGCTATACACGGGCTATGTTTTTATCTTTACATGGTCTAAATTCCCTCTATTGAACAGTAAAAGAATCGCCTCAAGAAAGTTTACCTAAAAAGTTTAATCACTTGATCAGAGTTTTACAATTATTTCACAAAAAAAAAAAAAACCCACGATACCAATAAAAAAAAAAGTAAAAACCTACGATACCAAATTATATCAAGATTTATCAAAAAAAAAAAAATTATATCAAGTTAATCAAATAACAAATACACACAGAACAAAATGCAAAATGTCGAATTGAAGGCAAACATATCCCAATTAATACCAAACACCACAAACGAATCGAACAAGAATTGAAACTTCAATAAATCAAAGTAATACCCGAATCCGAGCAGTCTGCTCTTGCCCAGACTCAAGCAACTGAGCCAATTCTTTCTTCATCTGTTTTAATTGCACATCCTTCTTATTTTTCAATAGCTTTATCCGCGACGTCGCTAGCCTCAACGCCGTCTTGCTGTACAAATCACGCAAAATTCAAGCAATTCATTCAATCAATAAAAACAAACACGAAAAATACATATATATGTACACGAATTTACAGAACTGACTGAGATTACCATTTCGCTGGTTTGAAGCTCCGATGAAGCATACTCTGAAAAGTTGAAGAAAAATCTGACTTGTTTTCTGTATTGTTCTCAAGATTTGAGTTACTGTGCGACTGAATTGATCGTAAAATTAGGTTTTGTTTGCGTGAATCGATCGAATTTCAGGAGACTTAGAGACGAAGAAGGAAATGAGGATAAGGAACGCCTTGATTGATGATTAGGGGAGGATCATATTCTTTTTTTACCGAGAGCATGAGACTTGTTTACCGGGAAAAACGAAGGAAGACTTTTTGTCGGTCTTTTTTTAATGAAATTAAAAAAAAAAAAAATTTCAATTATAAGGAAGTAACAGAGAAATAACGATTAAAAAGACTATCTGACCAAATTACCCCTTCGGACTCTCTTCATTATTTGTTTATTCTTTTCTTGTAAATCGCTTTATCTTACCCTTACACTTCATTATTTGTTACTCGTAAAGAATGATACAGTGCCACAAGCAACGTGTTCAAAATACATTAGTACTAGTTGTACTTGCTTCACCTGCACGAATTTGTGTATTTTATTTATTTATTTATTTTTCACTTTGATTACTTAAAAAGTTAAATAAAAAATTATTAAAAATTATCCGCTCATAAATTTCTTTTAAATCTTGTTAAATAAATGGTGGATAGTTATCGAATAAAAAATATGTAGTTATAAGTAACACGTAATAAAATATTATAGGCAAAAGCCTTTNTGCAAAATGTCGAATTGAAGGCAAACATATCCCAATTAATACCAAACACCACAAACGAATCGAACAAGAATTGAAACTTCAATAAATCAAAGTAATACCCGAATCCGAGCAGTCTGCTCTTGCCCAGACTCAAGCAACTGAGCCAATTCTTTCTTCATCTGTTTTAATTGCACATCCTTCTTATTTTTCAATAGCTTTATCCGCGACGTCGCTAGCCTCAACGCCGTCTTGCTGTACAAATCACGCAAAATTCAAGCAATTCATTCAATCAATAAAAACAAACACGAAAAATACATATATATGTACACGAATTTACAGAACTGACTGAGATTACCATTTCGCTGGTTTGAAGCTCCGATGAAGCATACTCTGAAAAGTTGAAGAAAAATCTGACTTGTTTTCTGTATTGTTCTCAAGATTTGAGTTACTGTGCGACTGAATTGATCGTAAAATTAGGTTTTGTTTGCGTGAATCGATCGAATTTCAGGAGACTTAGAGACGAAGAAGGAAATGAGGATAAGGAACGCCTTGATTGATGATTAGGGGAGGATCATATTCTTTTTTTACCGAGAGCATGAGACTTGTTTACCGGGAAAAACGAAGGAAGACTTTTTGTCGGTCTTTTTTTAATGAAATTAAAAAAAAAAAAAATTTCAATTATAAGGAAGTAACAGAGAAATAACGATTAAAAAGACTATCTGACCAAATTACCCCTTCGGACTCTCTTCATTATTTGTTTATTCTTTTCTTGTAAATCGCTTTATCTTACCCTTACACTTCATTATTTGTTACTCGTAAAGAATGATACAGTGCCACAAGCAACGTGTTCAAAATACATTAGTACTAGTTGTACTTGCTTCACCTGCACGAATTTGTGTATTTTATTTATTTATTTATTTTTCACTTTGATTACTTAAAAAGTTAAATAAAAAATTATTAAAAATTATCCGCTCATAAATTTCTTTTAAATCTTGTTAAATAAATGGTGGATAGTTATCGAATAAAAAATATGTAGTTATAAGTAACACGTAATAAAATATTATAGGCAAAAGCCTTTATATTTAATTAAATAATTTAGAATTAAAATATTAGAATGTTGGAAGAGAAAGCCTCTCCCAAATAATTTGTTTGTTATAATAATATTAAAAAGTATTTTTTTATTAAATTGTAACTATAAAATTTATTATATTTTTCTTTTAAACATCGAGAAAATAGAAAGCAAGTTTATAACAAAAGAGATTAAGATGAGTGCTTGAAATGTATATGTTTATGTTGAAACTATCAAATGAAAATCAATACCTTGAATTAGAGGATGATTGAGAGAAGAAGAAGCACTAAAAAGAGACATACATTTGCTCTCCTTTATACTTTTTTGTGGGAATTGCGAATAAGTCAGAAATAATTAATATATTTTTTTTTGGATGGAGATTTAAACTATTGACATCAAGAAGACAAAATCTTCACAGGATAAGGAGTACCATTGGACCAAAGATCCGTTGGTCAAAAATAATTAATAAAGTATTTTTTTTTCTTCAAAAAATACACATATTATTTTTGAGAAACAATAAGCTTGTGAACTTAAAAAATGCATAATTCGATAATATCATATCCTCATTCTCTATTTCTACTAAGGTATCTATCTATACACATGTTATCTTTCATTTCATAGTGTATTTGTTATACTTCATTAAAAATAGTAACAGGTCATGCTGATTCAAAATAAAAGGTTTCGAGTGTTTTATGACGAGAAATCTAAGAAAATTTGAGGTTACAGAATTCAAATCCTATACTCTATCAAATTTAAAAAACTTTGACTGCACGGCCCACCCCAGATATAGTTCAAATTCGAAATTTGATTCAGATGACATGCAAATGCAGGTCAAAAAGGTTTGGCATCATACCCCACCATGAATTCCTATATACCAAATGAATTTCAAATCCTGAATATTTTTAACAAGAAAACCATTCAAACAACACATTGTTTGAACTAATAAAAGGTAAAATGAATTTAAATCCCCTTTTCATTCTTATTTTTTTTTAAATTAATTAATAATTCACTCATCATGTAATAGTGAGGGATTCACTCCACTTAAATTTATGGCAAAAAATATCTCTATTTTATAACATAAATCTTGAATGCATTTGATAGGATATATACACATATCTTTTAAAGTACTGAAAACTTGTGATTGTTCGCCCCCATCCTTGAGTTCTTCCGAGATGGAGCTGAGGGTTTCGAAATATTTTTCCCCCATTTTAGACTGTGGATTATCTACGGCCTATGTCCCGCGCTTCAACTAAGAACCACTTAGATTTAATTTTGACAATTTTTTTTTTCAGAATTTCGATGTTAAGCTCAAAACGGTGTTGTGCGTCAGCCACACCCATCAACTTTAATATGTCTAAAGTGATGAAAATATAATTCAAGATTTTTTAACAATTAAATAGTAAATTGACCCAACTTACTATTTTCTTCAAAAAAAAAAATGAAAGTTTCCTAAAATTGTATCTCGCTCTAACTAGTTCATATGCTGCTCACTCAAGAATGGGACGACAGTGTTCCATCGGCAAACTCATTTTGATCTTGGACGCACACAATACATTTGAATTTTGAAGCACCACCACAAATGCTATCACGACAAAAAAAGATTATAATACCGATTTTAGTAACGTACTTTCATTCATCCTAGTAATTAATTTTGAGTTAGAAGATTGACAACTATTAATTAAAATAATAAAATATAAACTTTTACGCATGATATATTTTTAAAAGATAAAAATATGATATTAAAAAAAATTATTTCGGTACCAGGGGGTTACATGTCAAAGTTTGGTTTAAAGTTTTGCTGTTCTTTTAATAAAAAAAAATAAAATAAAAAACAATTGGTGCGGCTATCGTGCTGTAGAAGTAGTTGAACCAATGGGCAATGAACGCGGACCATGCACAGGCGCGTGTCAAATTGGGTGGTGGGCGTTGTCCATTCCGTGTGGATTTGTACATGGTCTTTGCCTGTCCCCATCAATATCATGGGAGAAAGCGAAACAATGTCAAGTCATTAGGGTGCAATTCACAGAAATTGGACGGATCGGAGTCGATTCTAATCCAATTTTAAATATATAATCTTTAATTCTAATTTTAATCTTATTTTGGGTTGAAAGACTCAACTCGAGCATTGTTCGAGTTGATTTCGAGCGGACTCGAGTTAAATTCGGGTTAATGACTTTAGACTAATTTACGGGTTCAATTCGAGTTGAGCTCAAAATAAATTTATTGTTCTTAACTTGAAACATATATTACATAATATTCACCTAAATTAACAATCAACAACTTTAATCAATTTTTAACATAAAAATCATAATATTAATGATGAGACTCTTCTAAAATGCTCTATGATGAAGACACGTGTCCTCGGTTTTGCTAGAACACTGTTGCTTGGATTAAGCACCATCGGCGAACGAATGTCCTCGCCCCCGAGGTACCTCTCATATAGGATCATGCATTCAGTATATTATACAACCAACACGTGTCCTCGGTCACCTATGTACCTCGGTCGTATACCTCCCTCGGTCCCCGAGATGAGCCTTTCCTCGGTGCCGAGAGTTACTCCGTCCTGGACACTTCCTCTACTCCAGGATAAGCTATTGACGTATAGGTCACTAGCCTAGGCTGCTCATCATGACCTCGTCTTGCACAAGTAATGTCAGAACATACTGGAATACCGAGGTCACAGCCAATAAGGGATGGACGCGTGGCAAATGATGTCACATCAAAGACAGACAAATTGCACGCCGTTGCTGACACACGGCTTGGGAAAGCAAACAATTAATTGCACCCTTCTGTTGATGAGACCGCATTCAATACGGTAAGGCTCGGAAGTGAAAGGCAATAAATGCTCCTATTACAGAGCATTTATTGCATCCTCCCCGAGAGGAGCATATTGTACCGTCGGCATCCCGACGACTCGGCATTAATTGCTCGGGACCCCGAGCAGTCAATTAGAGAAGACATTCCTCATCAGAATCAATGCACACGCAACCTGCACCTAATGATCACCTACTGACCACACTGACAGCAATCATGAGCTTTTAAGGTATAAATACTATTTGCAAAAAGCAAGACGGGTATGCAATCACAAACTCCCTACTACAATATATTTTTCTCAGTGTTTTCTCCTTCCTCTCTCTCACTCAAAGACTGACTAGACCGTCGGAGGGGATACGCCGGAAAACACTCCGGCGCCCTTCTAACTTGTTCTCCTTTGTTCCAGGAAATACCTTTCACACGTACAGGATCGTTCTTCCTTTCCCAGGATCTTCCTTTGCCGTTCCAGGTTGCCACCGTACCTTGCAGGCTGTTTCAAGCAGCGTGTTTGGCCACTCAACCGGCTCACTCAAAGTTCACCAGGGGAGAGATCTGTTCCCAATATTTTTTATATTGTGCAGGATCTTGCACGCACAATCTGGCGCCGTCTGTGGGAAACGAGTAGTTTTCCTAATCTTTTCTCTATAAAGAACAGTGACCATGGTGAACACCAGACAGA